AAAATACAGAACTCCTACATGTATCTTTACTCCGCACCAAAAAAAACCCCAGAAAACCTAAGACGTACTGTACCATGTACACTAATTAGCATGTTCTCGAAGTGGTGTACTAGTATACCAATTTTCAAAAACTCCATAAAACTTTTAGAAAAATTTAAAGTCAGTACTACGTAACATCAAAACTTAACGATTTTTCTACACCTTTTCCCACTTTTCTCACGAGAAAATTTAAAACTTATCAGCTTTGGGATGTACTAATAACAGACAACTGTGTTTTCAAAATGAAACTGGAATTTTTATTGTGATTGTGCACCACCAAAAATTACTTCGCTAAAAGTACTCTGATTACAGATAAGTATTCTGAAGTTATATGGAAGGGAATTACCGCCAAAAGTCTATGTTTCTTGCTTTTATTCTTATTCTGCCTACTTCTTTATGCTTTGTTATTATTGTAATTATATGTCACTTTATTGTTTTCATATTCGTCTTTATTACATTTCACTTTGACTTTTATCCTTCTTCATTTTGTCCTTACTTCTATGTTGCTTTATTCTTGTAAATGCATTCTACTTTTTTTTAAATTTAAACAGTTTCTTAAATAAATTATTCAATCACGCAAACAATGAAGCATATTCAATGAAGACGAATGGAAGTTGTCAAACCGTCAAAATTTAGTGCGGCATTATAACGCTAGGTGGTGTGGTGTTCGCTACGAGTGTTGGTAAAACTAGGTAACCAAACCCGGGTCGGGTTATTTAAGATTCTTCAATACGCCTTAGTACTTTAATTATCAATCGAACTTCTGAAGGCTGGATCCAATAATCCGATCCAATAATGGAAACTTCATATTTATTTTCTCTGGGCACACAGGAATAGCGGCCTCTTTTTTCAGACATAACTTTATACTATACTGAATATGTTCATTGAAAGGCCGACCCACTTTTTGTAAGAGTAAGGGTCAAATAAGTTAATGTAGTACGTATAGTAGGAAGAAAATTTAAATTTGATTCTATAGAAGAAGTTGAATCTAACCCAAAACTCACCCCGCCTTCGAAATAGGATTTCATTGGCATTGGAAGCAAATTGAAAGTGGGGAGGGGGGGCTATGTGTAAGAATTTTTTAAGACCTTAAAAAAAACCTGACAAGCAAAAAAAAAAAAAAGAAAGAAAAGAAATGTCCATTTTCCGAACTCAAATATTCAATTTCGTCGGGGGGGGGTGGGGGGGGGGGGGGGGGGGGTAGGTTCGAACTCCAGTGCCAAAGTTTTTTTCCATACAACACCACTTTCCCCATTTTAAACCTATACTGCATCGTGTCCATGGCAAGGTGGGGGGGGGGTGGTGGTCTAAACCTATGCAGTACTAAGTCTATCTCTGGAAAAAAAAGTGGGGGCTAAGCCCCCCCCCCTCCACGGTTCCGACGCCTAGTATGTATTTTCAAGTTTGGACAATTTCCTGGGGTTTTTTTGCGCTTGTCAAGGTGCTTTCAGCCGGGTACTTTACCATTTATTCTCTTGTTGCCCCCTCCCTACTTTCAAAAACGTACAATGCTACGTCACTGTTCTCTCGCCTGAAAAATATAACTCTATTAAAGTTAATTGTTGGATAATTGAATTCCAGTTTAATTGATATAAAAACGTTCAATATTTTGATACTAGTTAACCCTCATAAATTGGGTTGTTTTTTAGAACCATCCACTGAACTGAACTTCAGATAGTATATAACTGCTCATGTGCGTGATTCTAGGGACATGGCTTTGCAAAGGAGTGAGGAGCGATAATATGGGTAGGCAGGCGCGGATCCAAATTTTTTTTTTCCGGGGGGGGGGGGGGGGTCCACCCCAGTCCAAAAAAAAAATTTCCAATCCCAGAAATTTCTTGACGAGCATAAAAAAAACCTAAACTCGCCCAAACGTCAAAATCCTATTTCGTAGGGAGCGTTTAACATTTTTTCCTTGCTTTAGTATATACGTTTTTAAACCTTGTAAATTCCAGGGGGTCCTAACACCCCACCCTCTAGATCCGCGCATGGTAGGCGAAGTAGGAACTAGGCATCATGCATCCAGACATACTAGAAACTCCCTGGTCTTATTTTCAGCGTTAATATTTTATATTAAAATAACACTTAATTTTCAATAAAGAAAGAATTTATATCTTTAGTACGCATCGTATTTGTGATCAGCCAGAAGAGCTAAAAAAATTCTTAGAACTCAAAAATTCTGTTTGGTGGTGGTGAGGGGGGAGGGGTCGTCAACTTTTTTTCAGTACTAAATTTTACTCATGCAAATAAGTACATGACTTTTAATATATAAACTGACTATTAGTACTGCAATAAAAAGGGTAAGGGATGGGGGCAACAAGCCTTTCGCTGAACGTTTCCAGTAGTAAAAAGTTACGTTTAGGAAAATGTTTCGTGGCCACCCACCCCTCTACCGGCGAAACTTACCCCATAGGAGGTCGTCCACCCGGAAGTCAGTATATATATTGAGACTTTGGTGGTTTGATTGTACATTGTATAATGCCCCTTGCGAGAATTTTTAACTCAAAAGGAGAAGCCACATCTTGCCAGTGGAGAGCTGCAAATTTGTCCTATATACTTGGCACTTATAGCCATTGAGCAGTGAGGGATCTTTTTTCGTGCCAGCACCTACTGCGACACGGGACCTCGGATAACAAGGTCTAGATCTCACCCGATGGATTGAACTCCACGTCCTTCAGTGGGATTCTTACCCACGACGTATTGATCGACTCCTTACTACTGTACTTCGTGACTCTAGACGCCGTAACCACAGTGCCACGCGGGCGACTTTACCCAGGGGGAGGCGGGAGGGGGGGTGTCATTATCCATATGTACTCTTGGAGATTATCTATGTTTAACTATTGGTTAAAATGATTTAATTATAAAGCACTTTTAAAATGATATTATTTAAATATTTATTCATACATGTATCATGTGTATAGGACGGATAACTTTTCTTCAAAAACTGAAAACGTTCGTATATATAAATATCGTTTTACGATTAAAAAAAAACTATTCGGGGGAGGGGTTGCTATGAAGTGGGGGCGAACTGCTATATAAAGCGAGATTTCCCACGGAAGACTAGCTATAACCCGGGGGAAGTCCCACTGTATAGTCTTCCGAAGGAAGCATCACTATGTAGTCAGTCTTCCAGGGGAAATCTTACCATCTAGCGAGACTTCCGAGGGAATGGCATGTATCGGGTACATACCTGAACTAATAACAAACATCATTCATTTGAAAATTTAAGTTCGATTGATAAAGTATTAAGGCAGAAAATTGGGAAAAAACTCGAATAACCCCGGCCCGGTTTGCTTACCTAATTTTACCAACACTCTTAGCGAACACCCCTGCCACCTAGCGTTATAATGCGGCACTAAATTAGGACAACTCGTATTCGTCTTCATTGAATATGCTTCATTGTTTGCATTATTGAGTTAACGTTCGTAATAGAGATAATCATTTAAGATACTGTATCAATTTAAAAGAAAATAAAATGACTTAACAAGAATAAAGAAACATAGAAGTAAGGACGAAATGAAGAAGGATAAAAGTCAAAGTGAAATGTAATAAAGACGAATATGAAAACAGTAAAGTGACATATACATGTAATTACAATAATAACAAAGCATAAAGAAGTAGGCAGAATAAGAATAAAAGCAAGATACATAGACTTTTGGCGGTAATTCCCTTCCATAAAGTTAATAAATAATACTTATGTAGTCTTTTAGATCGAGTACAAGTAGGTCTTTCGATAGTCTGCTGGAATTTCGATGGACTTTTACTGAGCTCTTTTATTTGTCGACCTGTATTTTGATTTCTTAATTTGAAGCTTTCATAATTAAAAAAAACTTCCATATTAAAAAAAATAAAGAACTTGCTGTGGCCTTTAATTCGACATTCAAATATATCGACGACGTTGTATTTCTTACAGTCATATGTCTTATTATTTAAAAAATGGTGCTAGATTGATTGTATGTTGTTTAACGTCCCTCTCGAGAATTTTTCAGTCATGGAGACGCCACCACTTGCCGGTGGAGAACTGCAAATTTTGTCTTATACTCGGTACTCTTGGCCATTGAGCAGGGAGGGATCTTTTTCGTGCCAGCACTTACTGCGACACTGGACCTCGTTTTCTACGTTCTCATCCGAAGGGCCGATTTCCTTGTCCCACAGTGGGATTCGAACCAGCGAAGTAAGGGTCAACTACTCACTTCGCGACTCTAGCGCATGTACGCTCTAACTACTGCGCCACACGGTCTACAAATGGCGCTAGACTCTGCCACATCTGTTTCATATTTGGACGTTTGACTGCTTATTAACAATAAGGGCCAACTAACAATTCGTATAACAAACAATTTTCCGTTGTTAAGTTTCTATATTTATGTAGTAATATTTCTATTTCTAATATTTTTCTCTGTGATAACTCTTTGAAAGTTAGGGGTAGTTTATTTCTTGATAATTCTGCCGGAATGTAAATTAGGCAGGTCGATGGGTCGGGAGCTAAGGAGGCCTAATACGCATGCAATTCTCGTGCGCATCTGTCTCTGTGTCTGACGCTAGGGAGGCCAAATATGCATGTAAATCTCGTGCGGCTGCCTTTGTGTTTGACGTCGGTTGGCGAGGACTGTTGAAATTGGCATGGACGTCATCATGTGATTTAAATCTATTAAGCTACATTTTTAAAGTCTAAATCTATAATTTTATTTCACAATGAAATGGAGATATAAGGAATCACTGTCTAGTTAGGAGGGTATGTCAGGGACATCAACAATAGTGGGAAACATGGGATAATTTAAGCATAACAGGCTTCGCCCGTTATGCAAATTATCCCATGTTTCCCACTATTGTTGATGCCCTGACATACCCTCCTAACTAGACAGTGATTCCTTAAAAATACCTACCCAGATAGTTAGACAGAGCCTCGATATCAGCTTGACCTATGCTCCAGACTTCCTCCACACTGTGGCGTCCAATTCCGTGTCCCCAGGTGGCGTTTTTTATGGCACGTCTCACAAACCAATAATACAGCCAAAAGCCAAATCCCTTAAATGGAGCTGAACTTTTCAACACTGGTATGTTGTCTTGATTACAGAACAGTTCGATACATAGCGTCCAGAAATGTAAAACAGACATCAGCTACATTCAAAGGAAACCTTTTGATTACATACATGTACATGTATCTTAAATATTTGGAACCAAGATGGTTTAGAAAGTCTATTTGTTACATTTTTTAAAGAAAATGAATTGTTTATTTTAAAACTTTGTGTAGTATAAATGTAGCTTATCGATATCTCAACGAAAATCTTTAATAATTAATATTACTCGGAAGGCGTTGGAACCGGAGGGGGGAGACTTAGCCCTTACTTTATTTTTTTTTTTTGCAAAGTACCCATAATATAGGCAATGGACATTGGAGCGTAGGTATAGTCCCCCCTCCAACTTTCAATAGGCCCGTCGCAGTTTAGGTCAAGAAAAGGTTATGTGGTATAGTGTTTGGAAAAAAATTGTTTTGTTACGTTGCCGATATATATCTACTGTCCAAACTCAGTTCATGAAGGAGGGAGAGTATATAAAAATAATATATGCTCATCAATATTTATGTTTCAATGGGGGGGGGGGGGGGGGGGGGGGGGGGGGGTAGAGGTGGGGGACGGTTGGAAAGGGTACATGTACTTAGGCAGTCATACCAGTAAAAGTTTTCTTCAATCAGTTTCAAGAACGCCCTGGCTACGCTTTTCTGCCGGGAACTTAGTTCTGTATTCAGGTCGATGCCGTTTTTCTTTTTCAGGAAATCTATACAGAATTGGGAATCCGCAACTTCTGTATCATTGAATTTGATCCATGGTGTTTTACCTTTCTTGGACATTCTCCCGCTGTGGTCATTCTAAAAAGGTTTTAGAAATTAATATATTCTTACGTACTTTTTAAATGTATGGATATGTCAATGAAAATAATTAAATTTCATCTCGATCGAAATGGATAACTGATACAAACCTCAGGCATGCCTGGTATACTATACATACAACGTATCTTTAACTTCTGGTATAAATAATATCAAATCTTTATATACAAATATATAACCTGCTTTTTGACAGAATGTTATGAAGATAGTAGAGTAAAAGGCCATTTTTCCTGTTTGTCAAGATTTTGTTGCAGGTTGTATAGATCTGCACCACTCTTACAACTATAGTTTAAAATATTACTAAATTACAAAAAATAACAACGGTTTATATTATATAAAAGCGCCCACCATATATGGTGTTTTGGTCATGCGTAGAAACGTCTCAAGCTTCATTGGGAATGGCGACTTGCTGGGAACCATCAACCCTCTTCCAAAGAAGTGATGGACCACTACCACATTTGTAGGAACTGTCAGAAACTTTTTCCTGCGAAAAAATGTTTTATCCCTTTCAATTAATCCATTGTCGGAAACCCACGGTCAATCTTCTCGCATATACACGAAATGTAACATCAATGCAAATGTAATACAAATGTAATACTTAGTAAATCGGGATTATTACATTTTACGTTTTTAAATTTTGCGTCGAGATCAACAAAGAATGTAATCATGCAAAATGTAAGAATATAAACATCCTTTTTGTTATTATTACATTTTACGTTATTACATTTTACGTCGAGGTCAACACAAAATGTAATAATCTAAAAATAACGTCATTACATTTTGCGATTTTACATTCAGCGTTGATCTCGACGCAAGATGTAATAACGCAAAATGTAATAATCCCATGCAGTTAATTACATTTTGCGTTGTTATTACATTCCACGTTTAATTTTAACAAAGCTATGCTTATTGACCGGGTGATGATTAAAAGACGAGGACATCTCTGGGTATCCGACGATACTTTCAATCAAAATGGTGATATAATTTTGTTTTACAATCGTGCTTTAAAAACTCATAATGTGAGAATTTTCGCAATTCGAATTTTGTAAAAATGTGTGCCGAGAGACCTCGAACAATCTCCCAAGCACAGTTGCTCAATCCACAGAGCTTTGGGGAGGGACCTTCCCATCCCCCTTCCTTCATAATTCATAAATTGGTCCGTACCCCTAAGAGTTCTTTTTTACTTTTTTAAGTATCAGATGGTATGGGGTTTTTTTATATATAAAAGGCTTGTTTTAGCTATAATGGATTTTCCAGTTGTTATACTCTGTGAATATGTCATGGAAAAATATTTCATTTAAAAAAGGTCAAATAACCAATCCTTGGGGTACGGAAGGGGGGGGGGTTCCGGGCCGTCCCCGGGCACCTGTGGAAATTAATAACGTTTTAACCCAGTTTGACTTCCATACTACGTATTTTATAAACACAAGACTTCTTTGTCCATGTAACAGAAGAATGCTTTCAACAATAATATCATTTAAATGTACTTTCAAATATTACAACTTTATACATAACTTAATCTTAAAGAAATAATTTTTTAAAACGTTTTTAATCCAAAAATAACATTACTCTTATAAAGTTAAGTCAAGCATGAAATATCAAAATAAACATGGAAAGGCGGTCATAAATTTGTGAATAAACTATAGGCCTAGCAGTACAAGTTCAATGTAATTTTACCGTTTTCGAAGGAGACAACAGCACAGAACAAAACAAAGAAGAAGTGCGCATCCAGCCAAAGAAAGCCATGCTCCTTGTTTGAATTCCATCATACCGCAGAGCGTAAATTGCGTACATGAAAAGATGAGTCTGCCCGACTAGGTCAATGACCTCATCGGATTTTTTTCTCTCTGAAAATTGTTTTGCGTCAGAAATTAGGTCATGACAATGTTGTTCATGGATCAATTGACAATACCTTTCAAATCAAAAATATTCAAGAGAATATTATACATGTACATGATGTAATACGTAATCTGTACTGCATGGAGACTACAGCATTTTATGAAATTTTAGGAGTGGGACCCCATCTTGCTGAGTAATTATCTCAAGATATTTAACTGCATTACTGATTTGAGGAATTCTAAAAATGAAATATATCATTTAAAAACAAAATTCTTTATATAAATTTTATTTCGTGAATTTGTCTTACTTTCGCAGGTTGATTATTTTCAATCTTAATTCTTCAAGGTTCTTGTCTAATTATTCATTTTTTTATTAAAGGGGGGGGGGGTCGACTAGGAGATCGTTTAAAAAGATGCTAACTTTGATAGTAACACCATTTTACTGATACTTTAAAATTTGCAAAAAAAAAAAAAAATAAATAAAAAAAAAATTAGGTTCCTGGTGGATAATTGAACATTCAAAGACTCAAAGTTGTTTAATTTATTTAAAGTTTGAACAAATATGTAAAAAAAAAATATATATATATACGTGTCAAAATCCCTTGAATAAATATTGAAATCTCTCCTTTTCCATTATTGTCTTTCTAAAGGTGAGCACCTTTTTCCGACTCATAATATGGTAGAGAGGGGTGCCCTTGTCAACAAGTACCCGTGGTTCAAATGTGTGTTCATCGTGACAAGTATTTTCCATGAATATAAAAATTTTTAGACCTTGACTTTTGACTCACTTTTAAAAAGCCTTGGACATAATTTTTGAATGGCTTTTCTACATGTATTTCAAATGAATATATTCATTGAGACAATTCCTTTCTTTTAGGTTACAACATTTTTTTTCCCTTTGACCTTTACTCTTGAGTTTGATCTACTTTTGAAAAACTTCAACCTTTGCCATCACTTTTGAACATTTGGTGCTAGAGCTACAATATTTAGTAGCTGTATTTTTTTCTAAAAAGGCCTTCCCCTTGGTACCTTTAATTTGACCTTTGACCTTGACCCACATTTTAAAAAAAAGTTTTAACCTTCGCAAAACTTTTAATTAGTTAGTGCTTTGGCTTTTCACATGTACATGTATAATTATTGAGACAAGTTTTATCTTTGGATAAAAATATTTTTATTGCTTGACCTTTGGGTTTGATTAACAATCTCTAGACTTCAACCTTTACCAAAAGGTGCCATATCGTGGCATCAGTGTTTTTTTTTTCACATACACACACATACACATCTTGTTTTCTTTTGAATATTCATATCTACAATCTGTCATAGAGGGATAAAAGCCATTTCTTCTTTGTGCAAACTTTTTATTTCTATAAAACAGATTTCAAGGTAAAATTGGTGTAAACACGAGGAAACAAATTAGATAATAATAATTAACAAAAATCAACATAGAGATTGTCACAGCAAATATATATAATACATGTATATTTATAAATGAATATTATTATATCATATTCATGTAAATCAAAATACAAGCATCAAAGTTTAGTCTTAGCAAAGTGACATACTGGTTTGTAAGACATTTCACTTCTCAATCAGCAAAAGTTTGTCAAAATTAATGCTAATTAAATTTAACTGCATTTTCTGTAATATAAAAAATACATAAAGAGATTTAAAAAAAATAAAAAGCTGACTTCAGTAAAAGAAATTGCACATTGTTTCAGTGTTCATTATACATATATAGGAGGGACACTTGATGAAAATCACATGAACGGATTAAATAATAAATAACTAAACTAAATGAACAGAATGAAAAAAAAAAATGATTTCTATATGCACAGTTATAATACTGAGAAGTTTTAATTTGCAAAAATTGTTTTAAAAATATTAATATTTGAGCATAATTTTTTTTATCTGAACTTTCACTCTGGAGCTTTTTTTCTGGGGGGGGGTGTCTTTCTGCACTTTAAACTCTTTTCTGTAAAATCTACCTTTTATATATATATAATAAATATGACCAAAATAATAACAAGTGTGACCAGAATAATAACAAGAGTTCACACTATAGGTTGGAATGTGACATCAATATACCCTTACCAGAAGCCCTTTACAAATGACAAATAAAGGTCAATTCCTTGACAATACTTTTATTTTTTCTTATCTTAAATTTCAAAGATTCAAGATGTTTGTTTCCAAGAAAAAAAAAACATAAATGTAAACCACAACTTTGAAACCACATTTGATGATGTGTCTGCACCGGTAAATTAATTTAATTCTAATCAAATTCATTAAAACTAGAAATTAATTAGTGTCTAAGAGTCCTAGTTTATTTTAAGTAATTTCAATAAAGCAGAGGGTATAGCATTAAACAAATATATGTACTAATGACAAAGCATCTAAATAAAAAAAAAATGCTGAAATTAATTATGCAAGGATACATGTAAATAACTGTCACCACCTATGAACTACTTTTCACACCACACACACTTGAGATTGGTCTTTATTATGTGTAAAAGTCGCATATTGCAGTCTCTCTGGTTTATCTCATCATAGCTTTCTTAAGACTGAACTTGGTTTCCTTGAAAATCTTGACATTAATGGAATCTTTCTTTGGCTAATCAAGAAAATAAAAAAAAATCAAATATATATATATATAAATATAAATTAATAATACATGTAATAATTGAAAAACTGCATGACCATTCAGCAAGGGCCCCATAGATAGATAAAACTATATTAAGGGAGCAGCTTAATTAAGGGATGATGATTTTACTTAGGAAAAGAATTATTAGTACTGTAAAACCCTTTTTTGCGAGATCTTTATTTTCCCTTCTTTACACATGCTATTTTGCATTCAATGGAGACAAATCTTAGTTTGACAGAAATTATAAAAAATCTACCCATCTACTAAGGCAAACATGACCCTAGATTGACCTTGATTTCAAATTAACAACATTTTCAGATTGAGATGTTAATTAATCTGGCTGTGACAGCTACGTATATGACAGGTTAAGGTTCTACAGCAAATACACAGCCAGTTTACAGAAGGAACCTCTACAGCAGTTATCTCTCTTTGCTCATTTATTTTAGGAACCTATCCCACCCCCTAGCTCTAAGCTGAATAATGAAGAATCAATGAGTCTTATGACTTATTTAACCAATGTAAAAATGAGAACTTTATTGGACAGAGGTGGAAAAATGTCAACAACTAAGTGGATAGATAGACAGAGTGATTGCTATAGAGCACGCATGCACAATTAGTCTTTGCCATGCTCTAAAAATTTATTGTAGTACAACATGTACAATGTATTGATATGCTTCAGATTAAGAACTCTGCAGTTTTATCATTGATTGACCATTCAAAATGTCAGTTATAATTTCTGAACATTTCCATATATTTGTGTTCTTACATCTACAACTGTTTTGTCTGGATAAATTTTCTGTCCTTCTGGTATTGGAATATCGTATCCATACAATTCACCATTGATTGTAATCCTTATGCCAAGATATCTGAAAATACACCAGTATTATAAAACAATTAAAAATTCACATATTGTTTAGTGTTTAGACTATTCAGCAATAATGGTACAGCTTATTTTATGAGGAAGTTTCAAAAAATTTAAGTAGATCTCATTCAATCTCATTGAAAAGTTTTTTTTTATATATACAATTTACTCTGTACTTATTAATGTGTATACAATATACTCTGCATTTATTCTTTGTGTATATGCCAGCAGAATATGGCTCTAAAACAATTCTAGCTTCTCATCTCTGTCAACCCCCTTTTTTGACCCCTCCCTGCCATTTTATTAAACTTTATTTTGAAATGCAATAAAATTCAGAAATTCGAACAGTTCTAATCTGGGGTCAGTATTCAATCTACCATTAAACTACAAAATTTCAGCATGATTGATTTTGACAGTTGACAATTAACCAACTAATTGTGAAAAATTGGTAAAAGTTGAAGAGTCAAAGAAAACTGTAACTCTTTGATTTTTATTCAGATATAATAGTGAAAATCTGCAACAGTTTTTAAAACGTGTCAATAAAAGTATCTGTACAATGAACCTGGAACAAAGAATTAAAATTAACATGCCATGCCCACCATAATTTTTTTCATGAAATTTAGAGCCTTACGTTTCTGTCGGGATCTTTTCTATGGCCCCCAAGTGATCTGAGAACTTTACATCTTTCAGGGTTCTTTTCTTCTGCATCTCGGTCTTTGATAGAATCACCTCTGCTTCATTGTCGTTTTCCTTGCCAAAGTCAGCTGTGTATGAAGAAAGGGCATAACTAATTTAAAATACTAACAGACAGGGCTTGATTATTATTACTGTAGATCCCTTATATTTTTGCAGTACATATTATTGCGAAATATGTCTTTAACATCAAATTGTGAGAATAATAATTTACGAATGGATGGTTGATAAAGAGTATTAACATAGATTTCAGCACCATAAAAATAAAGGCTGGCAGTATCTTTACTTCCCGGGTGATGCTCCTAGTAAAATTACTTGATAATTAATTCCTTGCATATAATTAGGAATTTACTGATGGCTAAAGTTGTCAGTCCTATACCAAATATGTTTTAGCTTAATGAGAAAAAATTGACCTTTTTAAAATTCATTTTTTTAAAAACAATTGCCACCAATTTTAGGGACTAATGAGGTCTGTCATTTGTCTATAAGTACAATTACTGAATTAGTCAATTTGTCTGTCTTTCAAAAATACAAAGATATATAAAGTCTCTCAAAGAATGCAAAGCTAGGAAATATAAACATCATGAAGATTTTCTCAACTTTTCCTTTTAAAAAAAATGCATTAAAGTTTAGTTAACTAACTTCTTGGCAAGAATTCTCTATCTGGACCGCATATTCATGAGCCTTTAATTCTAATCCAAGATTCCTCTGACTCTATCCCCTGCTTTTATATTGTGACATGTCACAATATAAAAAGCACGAGTTAGAGTCATAGGAATCTCGGATTAGAGCCTTTCCTGCTTTTGCTTGGAAAAAACCTCAGATGTTTTTATATCGTTACGGATGTTAACAATTTGAACAAAATATGGCCGCTTCCTATTTATTAAAATTTTGGACAGTTGGAAGTTCAAAAATCCAATATTCTCTGAATCTGATGAGAATAATAGTGGACAACTTATTATCTTTAATATGTATTTGACGTAATATATAAATAGCAGGTCCGGCACAATGTCTTGATTAAGCTATATAGCTTTAAAAAGCTCTATAGCTTTATTAAGCTATCTAAAATAGCTTAATAAAGCTATTTATATGCAGTTTTTAACAAAAACGTTTTTTGTAAGAAATAAACAAAAAGTCGCAAGTATTTGACTAAGCATATATGTACTTTTGGCAATCAAAAATACAACCTAAATCATAGAAAGTTGTAACATTGCTGTGTTGTTGATTTAAATAAATCTTCTAAGGGATTAAATAACTATAATAATTTATACCAAACAAGTGTTTTTTTCATATGAATAATTCAATATTTTTATTTTTAACGTCTAAAACCTATATAAACAGTATAATTATCACACTCAATTAAGAGGCGATCTGAGGGGCACAGGTAGAGTTGCAAGTAGAGTAGACAAGCAAAAGATGAATTTCCATTGTTTGAGTAATTGTGTGTGCGGTGAGGCGTGGGTTAGTATGATTGCTTCTCATTGTGCTGAACTGTTACCAATCAATTATCATGTTGGCCATAACTGACCTCCTTTTAAATTTCATTCAAGAAATAACTGTGTGGTCACTCATCAATAGCCCCCACACTTTTAAAACTTTGAGTACAAAGTCTCTCAAGGAGACGCAATTTGGTGAGTGATTTATACATGCATTGTATTCATCAGAATTCAAAATTTAATATTTCCACTGCACCAAGGTGCGACTTTTTGCAAATGCTGAACAAATAAAACATTTGAGAAGAAAGTGTGATAAAATAGCTTATAAATCAAGCTATTCTGAATAGGTTGATAAAGCTATATATATAGCTAAATCAAACTATATAGCTTAATCAAGACATTGTGCCGGACCTGAATAATGTAAACATCACAATCATATATGACTGTATTTTTCCAACTCAAGCTTTACAATTATAACATATCATAGCTATCGATATATAATACAATAAGTCAGAAAGTTATTGTAAACGCACCATTCAGTTCTGATAATTTTTTTTTTTACAGCAACAGCACCAATCAGCCAATCCGGCTTATTTTTCATCAGCGACACTAACCGGGTCAATATAAGAAGCCATGTTCGCACCTGTAAGCAAACAATACACATTTGATCAGTATAAATTACAATTACTTTACATACGTTGAAATTAAAGAAAACATGACGAAGTCGTGTGTTCTTCATTTCTAATAATACGTAGATACATATCTTTTTAAAACTTCCTAAACGGATGTTGAAATTGAAAGTAAAGTTTCTACCTGGAATCCCCCAAGAAGACGAACCCTTCGGAACTCATCTTTTCTTTAGATTAATGTATTCGAAAAGATCCGAAAAGTTATGATACAAATTGTTCATTCGTTCATGAATGTTTCGGAAATCTGACGATATACTTCTTGATAAACATTAACTAAATTTTACAGAAATTCTGTCATTAAACTAGAGCTTTAAATTAAAAAAAAGTTTTGTTGCAAAACAAAACAATCTTTTTTTATTATAGTTATTTTTTTTCGGGGGGGGGGGGGGGTTATACTACCAAAAAATATGTTCTATTCGATTTCAAAAATTACTTCAATTTTTTTTTTGGTGCGTGTGGATCGATAGTTCATCAGGTGACCAATGATAAAGAATGGATTTTTACGTTATACGTCAAAGTATCGGTGGTTGAACATGTTAAACTAAAAAAGTTTAAAGTTTCAATACAAGAAGTCTCAAATATTGCCCTTAAAACAATGTACACGAAAACGGCATGTCACAAGCTAGGCCTAATAGATGACCAATTACAAGTTATGTCTTAATTGTTTAATTGCGAATGGTTGACATATACGCCAAAACCCATTGGCAATGACAAGAAATATACATTAGACCGAGAAAGTGTGAAAGAAAATGTTATGGCAAACAAGAAACTTAACCATGCAACAAAAAAATTACATTTCTCCCGTGCGAAGATTTGCATATTTCAGCAAATATAATTAAGCATAACTTTTTGCAGAATTGTAATTCATTTTACCTCTTTCAAGTTATTTTGATAAAAATAAGAACGGCAGACTGTAAGTTTACATCTAGCTATCACCTTAAGTGTTTTACATCTCCCATCTTAATCAATACTCAAGAGCATCATCCATGCAGGCCCCATGCAGTAAGATCAGTAACCCTAGGCAGGCTACTCGGTAGGCTACGTGTTAGATATAGATCTAATAAGTTGATGTTACAAGGACTTCAACCATTTTGTTTAGCAAAGTCTATGGTCGGCCTTATACACTGCTATAATGACTATATTTATAGCAAAAATAACCTGGTTTTCCTGTTATTTGGTCGTATTTGGCTGATGCATCATACCAATATTGTTGTAAGGCCTTTATTTTTGTCCCCAGCTTTCACGATTGCGAGGAGACATTAAATCTCATTCGTCTGTCCGTCTGTTGCAAAAAACTTAAACCTTGCTTATAACTTCTGAATGAAAAAATTTATGGTTTTATGTTACACATCTGTTCACTTGTGATAAGACCTTTTTGAATACGTGTACATTATCATCGATTATGATTTTTGACCCATGACCTTGACCGTGAAGTTTGACCCACTTTTCAAAAATATTAACAATGAATGAGAAGAAAATAGGGCTTTTATATTTATATTTCACTTTTCACTTACACCTGTGAGTGTGACAAGACCTTTCTAAATAACCATGATTTTTGACCCCGTGTCCTTGAAGTTTGACCTTTTCAAACCTTTCCTTATAACTTTTGACAGCAAATAGATAGGGCTTTCATATTTGACATGTTCAATCATTGCCTGTAACAAGATGTTTCCGAGGATGCTATAATTTTCGATCCCTTGATCAATATTAACCTTCATGTTTTGCCTTATTTAAAAAAAAAATAATTTTGGGGATTACTTTTGCATGACATTAGATAGGGCATACATATTTAAAACAATATCATATGCCGTAAGTATTAGAAATTTCGGTTAAGTGTAGGCATTTGAAGTTTTGTATTACGTCACGATCCAGTTGTAAACCGAAGCTTGCGATTAGGAGACGTGTATTTACCTTGAGCGCAGCTGTCATCATAGGTTGTGACGCATTAATGCAAAACTTCACACATAATTGAAATTACTAATATTAATGGCATCCCATCCACTAAGATACCGGAAGTGGGGGCACAGTTCTTTGAATTTGCTTGTTAAACCGAATTTGACAATGGAATGTTTAATCTACCTGCTCAATACAAAGGAATTGAAAGGGGGGGTCAACAGGGGATCCCCCCCATAGGCATTTGTTCCAACCTCTGGAATTTCAAAGGGTCCATATTTTATGCCCTCTTCAGCTTTGTACTTTTACAGAATTTTTGAAATTTGTCTCACTTTTAAATAAGTTTTCAATGTTTTCTCACAATGCTAAGGGTCCTGTCCGAGCCAGCACGCTACTGAAATCTGAAATACTGTTGGATGCAACCTGTTGACTCTGAACCCCTGGCATTGCAAGGACGAGGAGTGCATAACTATAATACATGTATTCATGTCCTCATTGGCAATTGATAATTGTTAGAATTAACAAGGTACACTTTCAATACACATTAAGCCCTGTATTTTTCAAGAATATGAAAGTGATATAAGAAATTAAAATTCATTGTGTTTGAATCATAGGAATTCCATGCAGTAAGAATACCAATATAGATGTTAGATCCGCTCGTATACTCTCTACACTAACATCTAACAACATCCCATTGAGAGTCACGTCAGAGGTCAATGTTTTCAAAGCAGTTTACATGATATATCCAAAAATTGAAGCGGGCGACGGTGGAAGACACTATTTTCTAATTAGGAAAATAAGCACAGAAATGAGCCATTCTAAGGCTTTTCTGCATTAAACTTAGAAATGTACCAAATTAGTGACGTCATATTTCCAGAATGGTCCTCCTTCATGCCAATATTCTTTCATAATTTCTCATACTGGTATTCATCTATTCAACTATTGTAAAACTACTAAAAGCCAATTTCATAACTTTTTAAAAACATAAAATTTTTAAGGCACAATAAAGCCCAAACCGTACCTTCTTCTTTTAGCGAAAGATAGATTTAAGACCTTGTGCCAAAAATCAGGTCCATTGCACTGCATTTTTGGGGGGTAATTTTTTTCATCGGGTAAAACAAAACAAACTCTCAAATTAATATATAGATACTGTATCTTTTACTGTAAAAGGTAACAATCATAAGCTATTTAAAATTAAAATCAAAAATATAAAGTTAAAGGATCCAATCTTTGAATTTAAAAATACAATAATTTTTAAAGTGTTTAAAGTGTTGAGACAATGTTTTGACAGATGGATATATGTACTACATGATTGTAATGGTATTTCATATATAATCAATAACCTGACTTACTCAAAGAAATGCATATTATATAAAATACATGTAAAAATATCTTGATATATTTTCATTGGCCCTTGTCTTTGGATTTCAATCATTCTTACAATTCAACAACATTACTAATAATAAATAACATTCTATGATAAAAAGTGTAAATCATTTTTTGGTACTAATTAGTTGACTAGCTAACAATGGATTAAAATAGTAAACCATAAGAAGTAGAACTATTTTCCATATCACTAAATTCTAAAAAAAAAAATCACAAATAAAAATTAATGATATTATTAATACAAAAAAAGAAGGAAAATCATAAAAATAACATAATCATTTCATAAATCAGAAGACAACAAAACAGAAATTAACTTAATCAAACACGTTATTGTTTTTTTTCAACATGAACAGAATCATTCAACATTGATATGCCTGTAGCACCTTACTATGTGACTAAACTACAATAAAAAGTTGTAAAGGTTCATGCCTGTAGCACCTTCCTATGTGACTAAACTAAAATAAAAAGTTGTAGAAGTTCATTAAAGCTATGGTCCAACAATACAAAATTCTGAATATAGAGTCTAAAAATGTGATGCATGCATACAAATGGTCAAAGGTTTAACTCTTTTCCCCCTAATGCATTACATCCTTTACCCCCTGATGCCACCATTTGACGCTATGCCCCATTTCCCTGATGCCACCATTTGACGCATACACACAACAACCCTAATTTAGCTCTGTGATTTCCCCTGTTTCTAAATAAATTCAGGACTAAAATAACAGCCAATCATGTGTATTACAGTCATTAGGTAATGTTACTATAATTAGTAAAGTCACATGTTGTGAATTCACATGAGATTTACCTGTGTAAAAACAATGGCGCCTAGTCTGTTTACAAGAAGAAATTGGGCCTTGTTACAAGCAAAATTCAGCCTTAATATAGCATTTTTTGTAACATACCTTGGATTGCATTAGCATTCACAATGTTTTTACATCAGTTCTAAAGTTGAATTTTATAGAAATAAAATTTTACAATGAAAATTAGAGGAAGAACATCATAGAATCTTTAACAATTAAGAACAACAATGGCGGCCACAGATTTCCCATGTGTTTTATCAGTTTATGAGTACATGTACTAAATAATCTACTTTCAGCATTTTTTTCATCTGGGCATTGATTTAGATAAAAACATGTATTAATTTATTTTCCCCAAGACTTTTGCAAGAAGTGGTCAACTAAATATATAAAATAGTTAATATAAACAATGGTTGCTTGAACATGATTGTGAAGTTTAGTTGGCTCAAGTCTAAGATAATTACCTATCATTATCAATCTATCTTGATTAATATTAATTAAAAAATAATGAGCCTTTTAATTGGTTTGATATTATATTTTAAGTTTACTGGTATATTTTATAGAAAATTTCTTTCATAGAATGGATAATATGAAGATTAGTTGTGAAAAATTCATTTTACCTGGTTTCACCTATATATTGTTAATTGTAGATTAATTATTCTTAGAAAATTATATGACAATACTAAAGTTCAATCCATTCCCCAAACATTGATATATAATATGTGCCACTTTGATGATGTTTAGGTACTTAATTAGCATGTTCTAAATGTAATGGTCAGTCATTTCAAGTCAGTCAAAATGGCTTCAGGGGGCAGCCAGATAAACACTCTAGGGAAATCGCAAATGCGTCAAATGGTGGCAACAGGGGAAAAGAGTTAATATGCTTACACCATAAAAAATGTAATTAATAGTTTTTCAGGTCAAAAATCTCAAAATTCAATGCATGCATCAGTTGTTCAACAAAATGTGATATTAGCTGAATCTTTATTGCTCTCTTAACATAAAAAATTATAATTTGTTAAATTTACCCGGTATTTAATGTTATTCTTAATACCTGTATTTGTTATAAAGCCAATAAATGAAGGACCGAAGAATATTGTTTATCTGATAAAAAGTTTCTTTACTTAATACTGTTATGAAAAAGGAAATAACTTAATTTTCTTTTTCAAATTTGAAAAATAGAAAATTGAGTTATTTCCCTTTTTTAAATGATGATAAAACTGATCAATGTGGCAGTTTTTGACCTGATGTGGCGGCGCCTGAGAAACTATTCATTAATTTTTTTGGCCTTACTTTTGATACACTGAAACAATAATGCAATCAATGCATGTCTATACATGTCTACAATAAAAAGTTTTCAATACTATTTAAAGCTATATGGTCTGGTAATACAATATTCTGAATATACAGAGTCTGAAAAATTATATGTACCATTGGTCAATACAAACTCATCACTTCAAGTTTTAAGTTTGCATTCCTACTTTTGTTACATTGAAACAATATTGCAATCAATGGTATTAGGAAATGAAGTTTACAACAACAAATAAATACTCTGTGCTTGAATTTTTTGCTCTGATTTAGTCTACCTGCAAAGTTCTTCAATGGTACTTTTTCACATTATCATTCAAAGCTTGCAATATCTCGAAATTTCTTTTCCATAGATCTGGGTAAGTACATTTTAACTCGAAAATAAAAGTTCAACAAACGTCACTTATAATGATCAACAATAAGCACTTCTAAAAATTTGTTTTCCCCCAACCGCTATTTAATTGCTCTGGAAAGCAAGTAGCTCATTAATTTTTTTTCTCTTGTTATTTTGCAAATGTTCATTTAGCATTATACACATGACAATTTCAAAAAAGAGGCAAGAGTATGACACAATAAAGCACCAGGAATGTATCCCATTAAACAGGGGGCATTGTCCTTAAATCATCTCCCATGTGGATATATGAAAATGATACAAGTTTAACAATTTTTCCATGGTAGAATTTATACTGGGTTCACTCCAAAATTGCAGTGTGGCAAGTATAATTTTAATAACAGACTGACAGATTACGTAAATCAACCAGCTGTTACAAATAAATATGACTTATGTTACATTTGTAATGAATTAAAGGCAAAGTGTCATCCAGGTCCACAGAAAGCAATTTCCATTTCCAAGTTGGAGTGGGGGAGGGGGCATCACAACCCAATAGAAATTCCTTAAAAATAAAAAGGGGATTTCAACCCAACAGAAACTCCTTACAAATAAAAAAGGGGGGGGGTGGTACAACCAACAGAAATTCTCCGACAACCAAAATATGGAGGGGCACAACCATAAATTAAATGGAGCCCTACTCTAAAGTATATGTATTATACTGAACATCATTCCTCACAAAAACAGACTGTGAGGGTCCTCCACCCCTCACAAACACACACTGTGGGGATCCTGTGACATCCCTCATAAACACACACTGTGAAGATCCTCCACCCCTCACAAACACACACTGTGAGGGTCCCCCTATCCCTCATAAACACACACTTTGAGGGTCCTCCCCCACCCCAACAGACCTCTCAATTGTCACAGCTTCACATTTTTGATTAATAATATATAATTACTTTAGAAAAATGCATGGAATTTTGATTTGCGAATAACACATGGATATATATACATTTATATATCACTGATATGCAAACTTCAACAAAACACTATTGAAAAAAAAATCAATACAGAATGATGCCATTGTCCATCACTTTCTCTGCCTCTCTGGTGAATCCACAAGAAAATTTGAGTCCCGATAAACACAGCAATATCAAGTTAAGAAAGAAGAGAATGACGGCCACCATCAGCATGTAGAATGAGAAATCCAGGTCGGCGTGGCTGACGAAGCCCTGGTGCTGGTCCTCCCGTGGTAACACGCTCTTCTTGTAGTGCTGGAAGTACAGCACTAAGTACACCACCACCGCCAGCAAGGAAAACAACACTACAATATAGAACACTCACTATTCAAAACTAAAATATTTTCTCCTAAGATTTGAAGAAAAATTAAATGGTTTAGGGTCCGTAAGTTACTGTATATGTAAAAAAAAATTAATTATAAATGTAAAAAATTGAATAAGATATTATATACATTCAAATCTCGTTATCTTGAACTTTAAGGGACTGAGAAGAAATATTGAGATATTCATTCCTATAGGATATTGAGGTAGGGGTGTGCAATATTACCGGTATATCGGTATATTGCGGTATTATCCACCACGATAATATATCGCGATATGAAAATCAGATACCGGTATTTCACGATATTTATAAAATATATAAGAACCTCCTTTATTGTAGAAACTGCTAAAATAAAACTGGAAACTTCTAAGGCTTTTTCTTTCTCGTTGAAAGAATACTTCGCCAGCTTCGTTCGTTCGAGAGAGAGAGAGAGAGAGAGAGAGAGGGGAAGCTTTAATTCACTGTTGCAGTTTTGAATATCTTACTTTAAAATAAAATTGCTAATTGATAAGACTTTAAAATGAAATAAATTTATAAGAAAGAAAATATATATTTAACATTTTTACAGGGTGTATACCATGTGCATTGTGGTTCTCAAAATACACGATCGACATCGCGGTGAAATATCAAGTTCAATATACATGTACATATTACAAGTAAATGGTCGTCCATGTTTTCACTTGTAGCAGTGTTGCTTTAATTCGTTTTTAATAACTTTCATGCCATTTTAAACACCTCATGCTATACCAGGAGCATGTATATATTAAAGCAGTAGATATAGGTCATGTCTTGTGAAATTAGGTCGGGTTAGACTAAAACACCAAAACGCAGGAAAACAGGTCACAATTTCTTTCTGGTTTTAAATCTATTATGTAACCACAATAAAATTATTTTCATATAGGCCTAGTATGTATATTGTTTTAATCTTTAATAACATTTTATGCTACTTCATTAAGACCCCCCCCCCCAAAAAAAATTAAATGAAACAAGAGGCCCAGGGGCCACAGCGCTCACCTGAGCACATCAGCTAGGAAAAAACACATATCAGATCAGAACTGAAAGTTAAGTTGGGGAGGGGGGGGGGGTGAATTTTAACCCCCAAAGGGATCATAATTTGAACGAACAAGAATCTACATTACCTGAGGATGATTCCATACAAATATTACTAATCCTGGCTTTGAAGTACTTGAAAAGAAGATTTAACAAGAGGCCCAGGGGCCACAGTGCTCACCTGAGCACATTGGCTAGGAAAAAGCACATATCAGATCAGAACTAAAAGTTTACTGGGGGGGGGGGGGGGGGGCTTTAAATTTAAACCCCCCGGGGGTTCATGATTTGAACAAACTAGAATCTACACTACCTGAAGATGATTCCACATAAATATCACTAATCATGGCTTTGAAGTACTTGAACAGAAGATTTTAAAAGGTTTCCCTATATGCCTATGTAAAACTTTGGTCGGAAATTATGTCCCCACCCTAGCCCCGGGGGTCATGATTTGTACAAACTTGAATCTACACTACCTGAGGATGATTCCACATGAGTTTCATCTTTCCTGGCCCAGTGGTTCTTGAGAAGAAGATTTTGAAAGATTTTTCCTATATATTCCTATGTAAAACTTTGGTCGGCCATTTTGGCCCCACCCTAGCCCCGGGGGTCATGATTTGAACAAACTTGAATCTACACTACCTGAGGATGATTCCACATGAGTTTCATCTTTCCTGGCCCAGTGGTTCTTGAGAAGAAGATTTTTAAAGATTTTTCCTATATATTCCTATGTAAAACTTGGGTCGGCCATTTTGACCCCACCCTAGCCCCGGGGGTCATTATTTGAACAAATTTGAATCTACACTACCTGAGGATGATTCCACATGAGTTTCATCTTTCCTGGCCCAGTGGTTCTTGAGAAGAAGATTTTTAAAGATTTTTCCTATATATTCCTATGTAAAACTTGGGTCGGCCATTTTGGCCCCACCCTAGCCCCGGGGGTCATGATTTGAACAAACTTGAATCTACACTACCTGAGGATGATTCCACATGAGTTTCATCTTTCCTGGCCCAGTGGTTCTTGAGAAGAAGATTTTTAAAGATTTTTCCTATATATTCTTATGTGAAACTTTGGTCGGCCATTTTGGCCCCACCCTAGCCCCGGGGGTCATGATTTGAACAAACTTGAATCTACACTACCTGAGGATGATTCCACATGAGTTTCATCTTTCCTGGCCCAGTGGTTCTTGAGAAGAAGATTTTTTTAAAATGCCATTAATTTTTCTCTAATTCATAATTATCTCCCCTTGGAAAAAGGCGTGGCCCTTCATTTGAACAAACTTGAATCCCCTTTACCCAAGGATGCTTTGTGGCAAGTTTGGTTGAAATTGGCCCAGCGGTTCTTGAGAAGAAGTCGAAAATGTGAAAAGTTTACGGACAGACAGACGGACAGACAGACAGACGGACGCCGGACAAAATGTGATCAGAAAAGCTCACTTGAGCCTTCGGCTCAGGTGAGCTAAAAAGGTTTCCCTATATATTTCTATGTAAAACTTTGATCGGCCATTTTGGCCACACCCTTACCCCGGGGTCATGACTTGAACAAACTTAAATCTACACTACCTGAGGATAATTTCACATGAGTTTCATCTTTCCTGTTTCAATGGTTCTTGAGAAGAAGATTTTGAAAGATTTTTCCTATATATTCCTATGTAAAACTTTGATCGGCCATTTTGGCCCCGCCCTACCCCCGGGGGTCATGACTTGAACAAACTTGAATCTACACTACCTGAGGATAACTTCACACGAGTTTCATCTTTCCTGTTTCAATGGTTCTTGAGAAGAAGATTTTTAAAGATTTTTCCTATATATTCCTATGTAAAACTTTGATCGGCCATTTTGGCCCCGCCCTACCCCCAGGGGTCATGACTTGAACAAATTTGAATCTACACTACCTGAGGATGATACCACTTGAGTTTCATTTTTCCTGGCCCAGCGGTTCTTGAGAAGAAGATTTTGAAAGATTTTTCCTATATATTCCTATGTAAAACTTTGATCGGCCATTTTGGCCCCGCCCTACCCCCGGGGTCATGACTTGAACAAACTTGAATCTACACTACCTGAGGATGATTCCACATGAGTTTCATCTTTCCTGGCCCTGTGGTTCTTGAGAAGAAGATTTTTAAAGATTTTTCTTATATATTCCTATGTAAAACTTTGATCGGCCATTTTGGCCCCGCCCTACCCCTGGGGGTCATGACTTGAACAAACTTGAATCTACACTACCTGAGGATGATTCCACATGAGTTTCATCTTTCCTGGCCCTGTGGTTCTTGAGAAGAAGATTTTTAAAGATTTTTCTTATATATTCCTATGTAAAACTTTGATCGGCCATTTTGGCCCCGCCCTACCCCTGGGGGTCATGACTTGAACAAACTTGAATCTACACTACCTGAGGATGATTCCACATGAGTTTCATCTTTCCTGGCCCAGTGGTTCTTGAGAAGAAGATTTTGAAAGATTTTTCCTATATATTCCTATGTAAAACTTTGATCGGCCATTTTGGCCCCGCCCTACCCCCGGGGGTCATGACTTGAACAAATTTGAATCTACACTACCTGAGGATGATTCCACATGAGTTTCATTTTTCCTGGCCCAGTGGTTCTTGAGAAGAAGATTTTGAAAGATTTTTCCTATATATTCCTATGTAAAACTTTGATCGGCCATTTTGGCCCCGCCCTACCCCCGGGGGTCATGACTTGAACAAACTTGAATCTACACTACCTGAGGATGATTCCACATGAGTTTCATCTTTCCTGGCCCAGTGGTTCTTGAGGAGAAGATTTTTTAAAAATGCCAATAATTTTTCTCTAAATCATGATTATCTCCCCTTGGAAAAGGGCGTGGTCCTTCATTTGAACAAACTTGAATCCCCTTTACCCAAGGATACTTTGTGCCAAGTTTGGTTGAAATTGGCCCAGTGGTTCTTGAGGAGAAGATGAAAATGTGAAAAGTTTACGACAACGACGACAACAAAGACAACGACTACAACGACGACAGACAACGGACAAATTTTGATCAGAAAAGCTCACTTGAGCCTTCGGCTCAGGTGAGCTAAAAAGATTATATAATCTGTAAAAACTTTTTTATTTCAATCTGAAAATTCTCCAAGAGAGTTCATCTTGTTGTACTATTTTACCTGGAATTTGATTAAAAGTAAAGTGTTAATTTGGTGTGCAAGCAATGTCTTATCTCTCCTCCCCCTTTTAAACTTAAAGATAAATTCAAATAGTCTTTGAACTTGACAGCATTTCAAACATTCTGCTCAAATTTATTAATGATAATTAATCTAAAATATATTGCAATATATTGCAATATTCAAAGTAAAATATTGCAATATACATACATGTTAACTCTCCCGATTTAGGCGGGAGTCTACCGCTTTTTAACTCCATCTCCCGCCTACCGATTTAATTCAGAAATCTACCGCTTTTCTTCAAAAGCTGCGTCTAAAGTATTTTTGGTTCGCTTGGGTATCCATTTTTAAAGCACTCTCATAAAATCTCGCTAGATATCGCGTGATTTGCCTCAGAATCATACAAACGCTTTTTTGTACATAGATTTCAAGCACGGATTTGACAACGACACCAACATAAGACTACCAGTGATTACATTGGTTACGATAAATTAATCAACATCCCTGCCATGAAAAAGGAGATACAGCTTTTGAAAATTAGATGAAAACATTTGACATCGTCTTTAAAAGCACAGAAGCTCACAACTTTATCAATAAAGTCAATAGAAATCACTCGATTAAACAAGCCATGTGGCACATCTCTACTTTCGTTTTCGATCATCGCGGGAAATCTGATTTACATAACAAACTTGTTTTAGATCTCGCTTAAACCATGCCATCATTTGTTTTGTTTAAAAACTGAATGAACATTCAGAATTATTGCTTCTAGGTTATTTCAGCAAAGATCACTCTTCAAAAGGCTAAGTAAAGCAGCCAATCCAAGCAAAATGATGAGCATGAAAAATATTTGAATTTGTACAATTTATGTCAAACTTAAGGTGTTTCTGTCATCTTTTTGCTGTTGATATTTAAGATTAATTAGTGTAGGTACCTGATTTCATTTAAAGCTTATAATATACATGTATATTACATGAAAGATATCGATAATCAAAGCGTTAAACAACGCGAGCGCAATGCTTCCGCTTTTGAGGTCTGAATCTCCCTCTTTTTCATCACAATAGGTTAACATGTATGCAATATATCGCAATATGGTTTTCCTTCGCAATACCCAACTCTATATTGAGGTTAAAATACTGAAATGAAAAGTAATTAGGTATTTTGACTTTTAAATCACCTCACTCAGGCGCGGATCCAGGATTTAAAATTAGAGGGGGCACCAAAAGTAGGCAAGGGGTCTGGGGCCGCCTTGAGGCCTCCAGTGGGTCCAGGGCAAAGCCCTGCTGGGGGCCAAGGAGGCGAAGCCCCCAGAAGCTCCTGGATTCTAGAGATTTTGTAGGGTAAAAATGAGGTCTAGCAAGTATACATATTTACATTTTCTAGATGAAACTGTGATTTACGTTAATTTTGACAATTTTTGGGGCCGGGTGCGCCCCCCCCCCCCCTTAAATCCGCCTCTGTCACTTCATGTGTGAATTCACAATATCCGTGTTCGTACTAAACGAGTTTTACTGTATCTTCATGGTATTTGAGATATGAGTGTCAAAAAATTACGGGAAAACTACTCACATGCCAGTCCTTTCCAAATGAATAGACCAAGTGGCCCAGTGATGGTCTCGATGGGTTTCCCACAAATGTTGAATGTAGCGAATCCAATGTAGACCAGGCCCCAGATCATTCCCAAGGCAGACATGACTAAGACCACCACCCAGAGGCTGAAGGGAAATAACCCATACTGGTACATTTCTGTATCTCCAGCTACAATAGGAGTAAAGTGGTAAAAAAAATAATATTAACACCTGATAAAATAAAATAATAAAATTTTATGATGACTTGTTCAAATTATACTTGTCAATGCATGGTATTACATTATTACAATAATCTCATTATGTCTTTCAGAAGTTTACAGCAAAATATATAGGCAAATTAATTATTACATTAAAATTATTACAGTCAGCTTACCGTGATGCAACACATTTATCAAATGGAATTACATGCACGTACATCAATTATAATGTGTATACCTGTTTGATTATGAGTGTAAAGATCAACCATCGCCTTCAGTTTTTTCCTTGATCCTATTCCTCCTACTTTGTCATTGTAAAGAATGCAGTACTTGCTATCACAGACAACTGTAATGAAAAGATAATTTTCATTTTATATATTAGGGCTGGGCAATAATATCGATATTTCAATATATTGCAATACAATGACAAAAAATATCGTATCGCAATACGATTTTGTAATATTGATATATTGGCAATATGTTTAGATTAAGGAATTTTGTCATTTAGATATAAAAATGGACTCATGAAAGTTTGTTATTAAGCCAAACAGTAAGTCAGAAGTTGTTTTGTGGGAACATTTCAGAGCATAACTTAAATGAAATCAACAAGGTTTTTTTTTCTGTGTTGGTTACTTATCATAGTTATGTACATTCTGCATGTAAATTAAAGAAAATATAGTAGAAAATGCCATTTTTATTACATTGAAAATATTGCAATACATATCGCAATACAGTTTAAAATATCGCAATATATCGCAATACGAAATCTCGGGCCAATACCCAGCCCTATTATATATAAATTTAAATAAATTTGTAGGTAGCACAGGTATATTAACAGAGGATCTTACTTGTAGGAGTAAGCAAATATTCACCGAATACAACCAACTGTTCAGCACCAACATATTTATGAGACAAGAGTTTTTATAACCCCACCCCCACCCCCCGTGCTTGATAAGTGGGAGGGTATATAGTAATCGGTATGTCCGTCCGTCCGTCCGTCCGTTCATCCATCCGTCTGTCTGTTACGCTTTAGGGTACCCATCTCTTATCCACAACTCTTCTTATACCACTGAGTGAAATTTAATGAAACTTTCACAGAATCTTTATTACATATTGCAATTGTGCACCTCCTATTTTACTTTTTGATCTGACACATATTTTGGGTTTCCCGGCCACAGCAAAACATAGTCTTTGCCATTATAACCATATGGGAGGCGGGGGGTATCATTTAGTGAGCTCATTGCTCACCTTTAGTTTTTTTTTCAGTGCTTGAAAATATTGATGCATCTACTTACTTATACATGTAGTATAAATGATGACCAGCTCAGCCAAACAGACATGAAAAGAATGTACATGTATGAGGTATTAAATCTGTCTCTGAGATATTATTTTGTGTCTATATGGCAGATCATTATACCCCCACTTGAAATGCGGGAGGGTATACAGTAATCAGGATGTCCGTCCGTCCTTCTGTCTGTCTGTTGCACTTTGGGGTACTTATCTCTTATCTGCAACTCCTCTCATACCACTGAATGAAATTTGATAAGACTTTCACAGAATCTTGAATACATATTGAAATTGTGCACCTCCTACTTTACCTTTTGATCTGACACATATTTTGAGTTTTCCATAGCAAACTTTAACTTGGACACTGCCATTCTATTCATATGGGAGGCGGGGGGTATCATTTAGTGAGCTAACATTGCTCACAGTACCTCTAGTTTACAATGATCTACCAGTAATTCAAAATTTTATAGAGGGGGATTTTTTTCAGGGCCTATGTGGACCTTCGTTAATTACATGATCAAGTTATATATGGTCGTAAAGAGGGCCTATCTCATGACTTGCACAACTTTGAATAATTTGAGTAATAAACTTGGCTTTATTTAATGCACATATCAAATCCCAGAAGTGAATTGTACCATAAAACTTTATTGTGAAAAAATTGAACAGACAAATTCAAAATGACCTGTATAAGTCTCAAATTGAATTTAAAATTTCAAAGTTTTTCATCAAATTTCTACAATATTGTCCACATAATTCATTGAAAAAAATATATTGTGAAACACAATTTATTTTTTAAATTAATGTTCTGAACAGTTTCAGGGAAACACTGAAACTTTTCAAAAACATTAATTTTATGAAACACTGGTCACCTATAAGCATGATAAGTAACAGCTTGACTGTATATATTATCTTTGAAACAGGTTGTTTGAACAAAACATGATCAAATTTTTAAAATGCAACATTGCAGAAAAGAAAACAGGTGATATGGGTACATGGTTTAATCGGGGTAGATCTATATAGTACTGCATTGAACACTAGGTGGTTATAAATAAAACAAGTCGTGACAGGTGCACAGACTTCCTGTTCCTGGATTCGCAGGAATGTCCGTAACTCCGGTCACCGTAAACTTCATCGATAAGAAACAAACACCCCGATTAAATGATTCAAAACCCTATACAAAGTTATAATCCTGAATTAGTGGGCTCTGAAGTACTTCCTCATATCTGTACATGGGTGGTATTGGCACTTAAACATTTTCTTCATCACTTACACTAACAGGTGCTTGTGATTTATACACTTGTAAAAGTTCCCCGGCCAATGGTTATATATATTATACATGTATTGAGTTCTTATACATATATAGTTATAGTAAATACTAAAATATGCTGAATGCTTGTGGATTTAAATAAAACGACATATTCCACATGATGTAATATTTTAAACTGAATGATTGTCATATTGTATATATATATATATTTTTTCATTTCTAATTTTTTTTCTCTGTGATAACTCTTTGAAAGTTAGCGCAGTTGATTTCTTGATAATTCTATACGAATGTAAATTAGGCAGATTGATAGGTCAGGAGCTAAGGAGGCCCAAATATGCATGTAAATCTCATGCGGCTGCCTTCGTGTTTGACGTTAGTGGCAGAGGACTACTGGAACTGGCATGGGAATCCTCATGTAACTTAAATTAATGGAGAAATAATGTACAAATAGTGATTTTACAGACCTGTGCTATTTTTATTATCCATATATATGAGTTGAGCTGTTGAAGCTTACAAGAAGTGGGTCAAATTCCAAGGTCAAGGTTAAAAATCAATTTAATGGTACCCAAGGGAGGTCTTGTCTTAAGAAATATACTACCAAAGATTATGGTTCCAAAATGTCTTTTCACAATTACACCTGTGTCAGAAGTCTGAAAGCTTTAATTAGCACAATCTGTTCAAATTTAGGTAATTATATGGACAAAGTTAAAGTTTGGTACTTTTTTCAAAAGTGGGTCAAACTCAATGGTCATGTTCTAGAGGTCAAGCATGTTGGCACCAAAAGAAAGATTAATCATTATATGTAACATTATCATGATTATATACATTTATTGACTGAGTTCAAGGGCAACATGCATTTTGTCGGACCCAAGAACCAAACTGTCTGCCTGAGGCCGTTAAGCCAAAGGCAGACAGTTTGGTTCAAGGGTCCGACATTTTGCCCGAGAACTCTGTCAATAAATGTTTTGTTATACCTTTCATTTTATTTTATGTTTTTGACATACATGTATTTTGTACTGTATTCCATGATGTAAAATCATGTCTGTTACTGTTTAACACCAACGAATGAAAATGAGATTAAGCTCCGCCCATTCTGTGACGTAAGCGGTCCAATATCTCTCCGAGCAGTCCAACATCTCGCTCAGCGGTCCAACATCAATTTTTTTATGCCCGCTCAGCAAAACATTAAAAATATTAGACTTTTTTTCCGTATAGATTTATATAGGAACAAATTTTAAAGGTATAACAAAAGATATGAAAACCATAGCTCCAATCAATTAAAAGTTATGGGGAACATTAAAGTTTTTTTGGCAGACAGACAGACAGAGTGATCAGGACGAACCTAGATACATATATATACAATACGTACCCTCGAATCTTACGGTGGCATAATAAATGATCAAGTGACAGTCTCAATATGACCCCCCCCCCCTTCTGTTTTCATTTTCTAACACTGAACAAATTAAAAATCAATATGTTTCCAAGAACAAATAAAATGAAAGCTTATCAAAATGATCTACCCGCTATACTATGAGGCCTCGGTCCATTTCCGTAGTTAATTCTTCGACTTCCACGGAATAAACCAAAGCTACCATTCATGCTGGGCACATTGGAAACGTTGTAGTTTGATGTGGTGTTTTTATTTCCCGTGGCTTTTATCCAGTTATCGGTGGCAAAAGACCCCACCATTAATCCCAGAGCCACGAGAGTCAGAATCAGTGTTATTATGACGAACAGTTTTTGACGCTCTTCTAGCGCCATTTCTTTCAAATCCTCCAAGAAAACACGCGTCAGAAATTAACGTAGGAAACGCATTTTGATTTTTCACCACCTGTCCACGCCCTTGTACTGTGTTTATCGGAATTCATGGTCGATGTCATGCACACTACCTGATTTATCCATTGACGATTATCATTATCGAAAGCGCTCAAAGGACGGGGACCATACAAGGATAATCAATATATTGAGAGAATGAATAAACTTCAAGGCAATTATTTTCCGGCTGCGGAGAGAGAGAGAGAGAGAGAGACGCAGTGTATAGTACAATACTTTACATGCAAATATTTGAAATAACCTAAACTATTTCTAAGCTTCATAACCAATTAATCAACCATTTACTATTTTAAAAAAATTTCAAAATGAATATGCATAACGTTAGAAATAAAAAAAAAAAAAAGAATTATACTTTATGGGTTAAAAATTTATTACAGAAACAATTTAATTAAGTGCCTGTCGGTCTAGATCTTTTCCTTTGATTCCACGGGGCATATGACTACATACATAACTCTTCAGGACAGAAAAAAACTCTTTGTAATATTTTTTTATTAATTGATTGAATATTTCCATCTCTCTGGCTGATGATCTTCCAGGTGAAAAAATATTTGACTTAAAAAAGGGGGAGGGGATTCCAAGATTAGACGAAATAGAAATAGTTTTGGAATGTTCGTTCATTTCCATCCGAACAATCAGGTGAACATTATATTTTCAGGCGAACCGGATCATGGAAAGGAATGAGTGTGGAGGGGAGGAGGTTGTCCTCATCCTGAAACCTTTTCAATGAACGTTAATTCTTACTTGCTGTATAAAATGTTTGTTGAAGGGCAAAAGCCTCCCCGTTACTGGAGGTAAACGCAACCTCCAAGGGCTACCCCAATCCAACCCTCTCCCCCAAAAAGAAATGAAAGAAATCTCTTTTCTGGGGTTTGGCTAGTCAAGTTTTTTTTCGGGTAATTTCTTTTTTTCCCCTTTTCAACATACCCTTTTTAAGAGTCAAAATCAGCAAGCATCGAGCATTGAATGGAAAGTCAAAATTTTATTTTTTCAAAAGCTTTTGGTATATGAAAGATTTTGTCCTACCTAATGCTAAAACACAATTAAAATTTTTTTTTGAACGTATGAAGGGACTGGTATCCAAGGAAATTCATTTCCTTAGCAACGGGCTCAAAAATCCATAGGAAAATCAATGATTTTTAGACATTTTTCTATGAATATTTTTTCTGAACGTGATAAGATAAGATATTTTGGTTACTTTATTTGTTGAAAGGTGGAATTACTTTATTCTTAAAACACAGGAAAAACAAAATTTCTGTACTGATATTGTTGCCATGACAACGGGAAAAGAACATGGCGTCAATGCTTATTAATTTTGCAAAAAAAAAGTTACATATGTTTATAACTATATACACAAAATCTACAACCACTGCTGGAAAAATGAATGTTGTGATCTTGTTACGGGTTATCTATATGTCATATCTATACAATAAAATTTGCAGGCAACTTTAGTAGAAAAAAGTTACAAATGGTTAAAATGTGTGATAATCTGGCATTTATAAGCTTTTTTGAAGGGGTGGGGGTAATTTGAATACATGTACAGTGTCCATTATATTGGTCATATTGGTTCTGATCAATGCATACTCATAATTTTACTATTGTTGATAAATAAATGCCCATTCAATTTCAAAAGGAATTTTATATTCCTCACAAACGAAACTTTGAAAGGGGGGGGGGGGGGGTAGTAATCACCTTGTTCACCGATCCATATGTATGTAAAATTTTGACTTGTCCATAACATTTCAATGAAGTGCCACTGAAAGTTCATACTTGATATTAAGATTGCTTGTGATCGAGAGATTGTCAAAAACTTGACTCAAGGTCATTTGAACAAGTTCAAGGTCATTGGTAGAAGAAAAGTGCAATCTTCGCCCATTCTGTAACATTCTAATGAAAAGACTTGGTTTCATCTCGGGAATTATTTTTGAACTGTAGGCTTCAAAGATTTAGCTTTCTGGTCCCTTGTAGCCCCATTTTTGTCATGACCTTGACCAAAGTTCATTTGGACATGTTTGACCTTGACTCAAGGACATAGCTTTTTCAAGGTCACTGCAGTAAAAGTGTACTATATGAGTTTGTGCTCAACACAACGGTTTTACTACTTATGACTTGAGTATTTGTCATAGTCATTTTTAGTATGTATATCTACACTAGCAAAATTTTAATAGGTTTCAAATTAATATTTGGACCTTTTTTTTTTGTAATAAAAAACATTTAATGCAATAGCAGGAGGGTTGGTATCATTTTATGAGCTTGCTCACAATAATTCTAGTTTATGAGAAAGAGTCACTATGACAGCTCACATAATTTTAAAGTTAAACCATGTCAATCAGGCATGTAGCATCAGGATGACATCCCCAACCAAACTTTTTTCTCAACATAACCTGATGTTTACCCCCACCCCCGAGTTTGGAGAATTTCCCCACTTTTTTTGCAGTTTTTTTAATGCCTACATGTACCCCACACCATGCACTGAAAAAAAAATAGTTGAAGTACTAAGAAGACTAGTAAATTTACTGTCCATACAATCACTACCTTAAAAGTAGTTTTACTGGGTATTGATTAGATTTACTAGATAAGATTAGTAAATCTAGAATTGATAAGTAACTTTCATTAGGTATTTAAGTATCTATACAACCCCCGCTCCACTTCTAACTATCTTAGACAGTAAACAGAAAGATTACTAATCACTACAAACGCTTTACGAGGCACACTAGTTAAAATCACAATGTATTTCTTTCAGTGTGCACTTTCAAAAACGATACCATGTCTGTCTTTGGTATTGAACCGATGATATATTCTCCTACTGTCCTAATTTAGAAACAATATTGCAGGACAGCTAAGACCTCAGTAGCTACTGATGCCTAAAATAAAAATCTGGAAGGGCTAAATATGTATGAATGTCTAAATTTGAACTGACCCTAAAAGAAATTCATTAAAACCCTATTGGGCAATCTTTGAATGGCATATATCGAAATTTTTATTGTACTTATATTTAAAAACATTTTGAAAGCAATGTAGAAATCAGAAGAGAAGGAAAAATATGAATATTTTATATATACATGTGTAAGGCCACACCATTAAAAATTTTGTTCGTCGGACCCGCGCGCTCGTATTTAAACAAAACGATACAAATAATATTAATTTAAATTTCCCGCATCATAGGAATTCTGTGCTATTTTCTGTTTCATTTCTGTTTATTGTATTTTTTATCTGCTTACTCTGTAAATCAGAAAAAATATAATTGTCCGCTCACATTTTTTCACGCTCCGCCTAAAACAATTGGCCAGAAAAAAGTAATAATATTATTATTTAACCACTTGCCCGCTTGTACTTTTTTTAAATCAAATTTCCGACGAACAAGAAATTAAATTGGTGTGGCCTAATACCTAGAGATACAAAACATATAAATTTGAGGAACATGTCGTCCGACTTTTAACTAGTTCATCATCATCATTTTTATTTCACTCACACCAACATCAGTGGTACATGAGGTACAATATATAGATTAGCGCTCTTTCTTTTTTCTCACAAAAACATTTTGTCAGTTTTGAAATTAATTAATCATTTAATATTGACCTTGTATTAATTATGATACTTCAAAATGCAGAATATAAAGATATGTTTCAGATTCTTCTACTATCTATTTATGAATCTGCATGCTAAAATTTGATAGTTATTAGATTTACATCAATAAAAAAAATGCTAACAGACAAACAAAGAGTGTTACTTTTGGATTGAACATTTTTATTTGATCCATTTTCATGAATACACTGTACAATTTATGGATCTATTTTCTGGATCCCCGAGTCTCCGGTAATACTATCCACTCACTTCCAGCATCAATGGTCTGTACTGTAATAATGTATTCTCATAATGATAATCTGAAAAAGTGATAAAATTAAAATGTAATAATATTGTACAGCTTTGCCTTCAGATACTTAGAACCATTTCTAGTTGAGCTTGAGCAATGATGATGAATGGAAAGCATGTTTATTGGAATCAATTAAATTCCAAGAGATCTCAATGGTTAATCATTTTATTTTAAAAAGTTAACGTTTTTACTAAATGTATTATTTACATGTTTTTCCTGTCTAATTCTATATCAGCTCATCCAATTCTGTTTCTGCTTCTTTCTGAGTTTGGCTTCAAAGTGCCGAATTTCATTCTAAAAACAGAAGTATACAACACAAAATTGAGACCGTATTGATTTTAGATATTCTTTAAATTCAAAAAACTTGTAATAAAAAGGTCAATTGGTTCTAGGTTTTGTCAAAACTCTAGATTATGGTTTTCATTTCTTTCCAATACCCCCCCCCCCCCCCCCCAAGAGACAAAAAATGGAGTATAGATATTCTTTTCATAAATTTACGTGCTTTAAATCTAATGATGCTTATTATTGAACCTAGTTGGCTTAAATTAGTTCAGTGGTACCGGAGAAAATGTTAGCTGAATATGAATTTTCTTTTATAAGTAAACACTGGATGACATCAGCAAAATTTTTTTTTTAATTAATTATTCTACTGTGGTATATATACAATTCAGTTACCACTAGTCCACTACATAATACACTTGTCTGTATCACAATACTTCCAAGGTAATCCCCTTTCCTAAACTAAAATATATTAAGTACAGAGTTAACCCCCTGCCCCCCTTTTTTTTTTACGGACGCCATAACAAACATATAGTCACGGGGGGGGGGGGGCAGCGGGGACACTAGCCCCCCCCCCCCCCCCCACTTTCAGATCTGGTGGGGCAAGAGTATGTCTATGCCCCCCCACTTTTTAATGAAGAACAAAATCACAGCTATTTTGAAATAATATTTAACCTCATTTTATGGCTTTTTTTTAAAGTTCAGCAACTGAGTAAGCATTTCTCTTGAAATAATAGTTGTATTATATAGTAATGTAATATCGTAATTAAATCGTCAAGACCTGTGCCGCCCCCCCCCCCACCTTTTTCCCAACATAAACTTTACTATAGGAAATGTTCATTGAAGGAATACTTGCCCCCCCCCCCCCCCCCGAAATTGGATATTCGGGTTTGTGGAACTTTCAATTTTTTTTTTTTTTTTTTGCTTGTCAAATAATTTCTGGCGTTGCCCCCCCCCCCCCCCCACTTTTAAGTTTGTGACTACGCCTCTGACAAAGGTCATTCCATTTTACAAATAATTCATTATAGTGTTGGTTTTCATAAATTCATAATTTTTTATGTAAAAAGCAGGTATTATCTTAAATGGTAAATAAAGATATCTATTATTATATACAGAATTTTTATTTACCCGACCATCACTCAAGTTATAATCATTATAGCTGGTGAGTGACTTGGTTACACACATGCCGTGAATACAACAAATCAAAATTAAACTAAATTCAAATTAAACTTTATAATTTGGGATACAGTTATGTAACTGATCATGACCAACTTTTTCACGTTAGGCCCGCAGAAACAATCTATGTTGGGGAATTTAATTTAATTTTATCATATTATAGTTTAATATCGGCAATATTATGGGGGGGGGGGGGCATACCCCCTCCTCCTGGTTCCTCATATAATGCATAATCTTTTCTTTTTAGTTATAAAATACTAAAGTAATGCTAACATATATACTAGTAATCAATCAGAATTAAATTGAAATACATAAGCAAAAACACCTGCCAAGTGTTACATATTTTACTGCATGGTTAATTTATGTTATACATTCTTCACTAACTGTTGTAATGGTAAATTGTAAAAATTTCAGTCACTCACCGTAATTAAGACTCATGAAAACGCCAAAACTGAGGGCTCAGACTGCTCCAAGTTAGTAATTTTCTGCTAGTCTTCTGTACACTGTTATTGAAAACAATGTAAGCAAACTACCGTTTATTCCTCCTATGTTAGAGAGCTTTACCAAAGGGAGGTAATTTGAAGCAAAAGTGACAGAAAATAATGGATTTAAATCAGTTATCATATATAACTGCTTTAGTTGCCTGCAGATTTTTTTCTTGATACTTCTAGAACAAATACTGTTTAATATATATTTTATGTTGATAAGCTTTAATGTGGTTGTAGATTTCTTATAGAGTACTTCAAAATTGCTGTTTTTTAAAGCAAAATTAACCTCCAAAAACTAGTTTTATTTATCAAAAGGTGAAAAGAATTTCAATAATCAACAGGTTTTAAAATAGAGTATTTTCATATAAATAAAATAATAATTAAAAAAGCTTTTATTAATGACTAGTGATAAAAAATTATTTGTTTAACCATAAATTCAAGTGCCATGATAAAGTACAAACCACGCTATTTGAAAGGTGCGTGGTTTCCATAGCAACAATGCGAAAAAATATTTTTGGCTTGCTTTTTTCTATTATACCCATTGTTCTGAAAATTTATATATGAGTTTTAACTAAATCTGTTAATATGCCACTTTCCACATTTTTTAACTAAATGCTCGATGCTTGCTGATTTTGACTCTTAAAATTCAATCCTCGTGCCTTACACATTATTACATGTACATGTATTTTTACTACATCGCACCTAATATAGATTTAACAAAAATATCTTTAGTACAATTGGATATATTTGAATATTTTTATCCCGTTTCTCTCATTGTTTTTGGCCATGACCAAAAAGTATGAGATGGCATGGATTGCTGAATTACTTTGTATCATTTGAGCATTATGAATATAACAATTATTTCTTCCGTCTTTCTGGCATATTTTTTATTCATTAATAAAATATGCATTACGTATATGTCTTCTTATTTATATATTTGCATTATTTTTTATTTGGGTTGTTGGTAGCTACACTTTTGTGTGCTACTCTTACAGCAATAGCGGATCCAGAAATCTTGAAAGGGGGAGGGGGCGACCAGTTTGGGTTCAGGGTAGGGGACCATGGCCACACCAAAAAAAAAAATATTTATTAAATCTTTTGTATTTTTTTTTTTTTGGACACAAAGGAGTTGCGGGTCCCCCTCTAAATCCGCTAGTGTACAGGACTTGCGTGTCATACAAGGGAGAAAGACACTCACACCTGTCTCTGCATTTCGTGAATATTGTATTTCGAAGGTGGCTAAATCATCGTATTGACTAAAAAACGGTTATAATTGGGGAAAGGCCTATGTATAAAATTGTTAATGAAAAGAAAATAAGTGCTGAAAGGTAACACTGTATATTTGCATATCCACTGCACTCTCCCACTATGAACATGTAGCCATCAACTGCGTTCACAGGACTATAGACGCAACTGCTTCTTCTATGAGTGCAATTGCTCTATCTCACTCCTGTAGGACAAGCTCTACTACAGTCTCAGTTGGTGTTGAGAAGTATATATACTAAATGTTTCGTAAAAGGACTAAATATCAGTTTTTGATAATATTTATTGGAAAAAAAAGAATTCAGAACAATTTAAAATTGCTGTTTGATAACTTTAAAATTTAATTTTGGTCAATGTATTTAATTGTAGTATAAAACTTTTTAAAAATTGAATAGAACTCCATATTTTTATTTTTTCAATCATGCATGTACAAAGAACGATAACTCTTCGAACTTGGGTAATAACATATAAAGAGATCTAGATCTATATCTTTTTCAAGAAAAAAAAATAAGAAAAAATACCAAAAAAAAAAAAAAAATCACAGAAAAGCATACTGGAGTAATAATCATTATAAAAGCATTCTCATTTTTATCATAGTGTTAAATTACTTATTTTTGTCAGATGATTTCAATAAGGTTGATCGATGACGTCACGACTGCATCAAAACAAAAATTAGGAGAATGTTATGACGGCGCTGCTTTTATCCAGATAACTGTGTTTGAGAGGGAAATACTTTATAAATTCTGATTTATTAGAGAAAAGGAGTATTGATCAAGTGTACTGATTTTAAAGCCGTATGGTTTTCTTTACTGAAGACAGAAGAAGCTGCGTCCTTATGTAAGTCAGGATTTCCTCTATATTCTTGAAAACATAAAAAAAGAATGCTAAATATAAGTAATAAACAACGATTATTTAGTGAACATGGCGTAATGAATAGCAATAGCTCTGCTGGCATATTTTCCATGATGCGCTAATAACAACGTAAGCAACATTTTTGCATCACAGCGATGCACTGAACCATGCACCAACTGAATATTTTAAGGCAAACGTCAAAATAGATAGTACTATTAGTATATGCACATTTTTTAGAAACAATTCCAGATTTTAAAGCAGCCACGCATGATATTACTTTCGGTCCAAACTTCATAATTCTTTCCCAAGAAAATTGACTTAGAAAAGTGTATTCTTCTAATCCTTCCCGCCCGGACAAGGATCAGTCGATTTTGATTCTAGTATCTTAAAAATACACCTCAGAAAGACCGACGAGTAAATGTTTCCATAAAACCACGAACTCAATGCATAGTAGAATTTAATCCGTACAACATCTCGAAGCGAGTGGGGTAGGGTATGGGAGGAACGTATACCTGTGAAGTGACTTTTGAAATCTTTTGTGAGTACATGTATCAATAGATAAAAGCATTAAGATTTTATTAAAATCTGCATGTTGATATTTCCTGTTTAAAACTGTCAGAATTCTATATAATGTATAACTTTAAAACTGATCAATTAGAACAGAAGTGTATAAAGAACAATTAAATAATCAATTTCATTTTTTTATTTGTAAATTGTATAAAATATCTTGCCATCTGATTCTTTGATAACAAATTGATGAAATGTAAATTTAGTCTGGAATGCATGAAGTATACAAATGTTCCGATAGAAATTATTTACATATATACAGAATAAAATAAAAAAAGATATCACTATATATATAGTACAATAAAACACAACCCCATCATGGAATGGCACATAAAATATAGAGTGCTTTAATTAATGTGTTAATAATTATCACTAAATGATATGTTAATAATTATCACTACAGTAACAGGAATATGTTCACAAACATAAAATATTCTTCTCACAACCTGTAAATATTAAACTAGTGTACAAATAGTGTGTCAATGCATTTAAAAAATTATATCATTTTGTAGAAAAAGAAAACAATTCCCCCCCCCAAAAAGAATATCACAAATATATCATTTTATAAGACAAATGTCTGTTGACAAAATTTTTGTAAAAATACATTATAAATATAAAATGTATACAATAAAGTTGTATTAACAAAATTTATCCAAAGTCCAACTGAAAAAGGAATTAAAGTAATGATACCTATTTTTTTTTAAGTAAAATTTTATTCAAGGATTATAATACTAGAACAATTTAAGGAGTCTTTTCTCTTGGAATTCAAAAAGGTGTTGATATGATACTGGAATGCAATGCACTAGCTGCAGAAAATTTGTGAAAATAAGCATGCTCAGTCGAAAAAATTGCTTTCTTAATCGTATGACACAAGGTATATAAAAATGTCACATAAACATATGGGGATATGACAAATATCATAATTGATATGCATAAATTGCTAGAATATACATATTTTAAAAATTCACATTTTGGTTAAACCATTCTTACCCATTCACTCCTCCAAATGCACAATAAATCATACATACACTTGATTAAAACGTCATATAGAAGTTCAGGAATCACACAGTCTTGCACAGTACACATATACAGGTCTACGATCTAAACAGCAGTACACAGATCAATGATAGAGTAAGGGAGAGGATCCAGGGGAATGGCTTCACAGTGATGGCTGAGTTCAGTACCCAGATGGTGTTTGGTAATTTGTATGGATTCACACCCGAGTCGAAACGTTGGGGACAGTTATCAACTGTAATATAAAGAAAATCCACGATCAATAATTTTAAAATTCTTTAATGGAACTGAGCTGGGTATATGATCTCTTGGTATTCTAATCACATCCCCAAATTTTATCCATATTTGTTCATATATTTTCCCACAGTAAAAAAAATCTCCCAAACCATTTGGTAACATATCCCTTGATAATTTAATGCTTTTTGGGAAGGAAATTGAAACCCAAACACAAAGAAAGAAAATTTAATTTCTTAAGTGAAATGAAAAAATTATATAACACAATGGCACATGCCAATTATTTAATATTATAACATTTTCTTTTAATTTTTTTTCCATACTTAAAATTAATGAAGATTAAAAATTCATACATTTTTAGAATAACATAAAAGTAAAAGCAAGAATTCTGTTAAGGGGGCTTAACCATCAAATATAACTAAATTTTTAAGATATGATATCTTCATTTTTGTATATCTTTATTTGGAACTCTTCTTCTTAAGGAGGTAAATAAAGTTTGAAAAAGGCCACAACCACCCAGCCTTCTTCAAGATTTGTTACTTACAGAGTCTTTCATTTTCGATCATTTCCAGCATTAACCCCGTGCCAGCCATCTGATAATCCGTGGCTTCCTGTTTCTTGTTACAGCGGGCATTCTGAGCTCGAGACATGTGAAGTGTAGTCCAGCTGGCTCTCTCATACACCTTTAATAAACAAATACAGAATAAAGATAACAAGGAGTCACTGCAAGAAATACAGTAAAACTCAGTTATAATGAAGTCACTGGGACTTATGAAATTACTTTGCTATATCCATAATTCGTTTTATCCATGTATGGAATTCGTTAAATTTAAATAGCAGGGGATCCAGAATAACTTGCTACATCCGTGAATTAGCAATATCCAGGTTTGTTCTAAACACGTTTTACTGTAACCCTGATATAACGTTTTTGTTTATTTTAAGAGTGTGTCTTTTACCCAGCATCTGAAGTTAGAAATGGCGTCTTCTTCGTCCCACGTGACCAAGTAGGACTTGTAATCCTCCATCCAGAACCCTACACAGGTTAACTCGTGATCCGACACATCTACAAAATACAGCAACACATTAGGTATATCGTTGACATTCTTTTCAATTTAAAATAAATACTTTTCAGTTGTTATGAGTTAAATAAAAAATTATATGTTATCTGTATATAATCAATAGTTTGTTTTTTTATGAAGATAGTAGGTCTTTTTTAAATTCATGAAATTCTGCCAAATTTAGGCCCCTAAAAAGTTTCCTTTCTCTATATAGAGTATCATTGTAATTTTTAAGGAATGATTCATTTATATGCCATTAAATTCATCTATATTTGGAATAATAGTATTAATTAGTACAGATACAATTGTGTTACTAATTTTGTACTGCACTATTTTGAATCCTAAAAAAATTCCTAACCGTAGTGAAAATATAAATCTGTTTTCAAATTCCAAAATCTAATGACTTTAAGTCTTAATTAACTCTGCCCACTCACCGTACTCTCCAATAGGCCGTCCCCTGTAGTCGACCGTCTCGCAGTATTCAGCGTCGACAAAGATTTTCGTCAAGTCGTTACTGCAGGACTTGATCTCGGACACGACAATGCGACAATCCACCTGTACACGAGGCTTCTGTGTTACTCCTCGAATCCTTGTCTGGTATTTTTCATTCTCTTTGTCGGCATTCTGGATAAAATTGTAGCGACCCCCAACAGGACAGGGGTAGGGGGTGGGAGGGTTCTCTGTAAAATATGGGACAATTTCAATCAGAGTGCAATTCATTTTATCATATCAATCATTCTGTTAATTTTTTTTCTTACAACATATAATCATTGGGGTCATTTTGGGGAAAAAACATTTATGGAACTCTAAAATTAGACATGGGGCTCACCCACTTTTCAGATTAGCCATCCGTATGATGTACGTCAAGTGTCAGTTACATTTTATAATACGAAAACAAGGAATACCTAGTTTTTACTAACTTGATCTTGAATACATTATTTTAACAAAATTCACTGACTCTCCATAAGAATTAGAAATGAGAGATCAATTTTCTAACTATATACATCCTTCATATAGATATTATTTTAAGAGTGTTCTCTTTTTTTTCAAAGAAAAGAATCTATTTAAAATTTCAGTTAAATTAGAATATATGTGTATCAGCTGATCCCTAGATTTCCAAAAGCTCTACTACTCTGACTTCTCACTATGAAGAACTAGACTTATTTTAACTTAAAAACATTTTTCAATTTGTCAATAATGCAAATAAATTTCATAAACTTACGGATGAGCACTTCGTATTTCCAGTCTATGATTTCACGATTGAAGGTGAAGGACATCCAGCTGCAGGCATCTCGGAACACCATCTCAAGATAATTAGGGTCCTTCAGTTCCGTCTCGGACAAGCGTCGTGCGGGCTTACCTAACATTCATAAAATACATCTCATCAACGACTCTGATATAATCTCAGAGAGCGATTTGAAAGACAAAGCATATTTGAATATTTCTACGAGTCTCAGACTTCTTTCTCCCCCAAAACTTTAATGATATTCTTATATCCTAAAATAATTAGTTATCTTTAAATTTGACAATAGATTTGGAGACTCTTTTTTTTCATTTCCAAAATTATGAGTGGACACAAACATGACAATTCGTACAAAAGTTCAAGAAAATATTACTAATTAATTTTGAAATAAATATCTGTAACATATATTATTCTTACCTATTCTGTATCTGACAATGCTGTGATGTCGAGGAACAATGTCCATACACACAAAGTCTACTTCACTGAAAAATGACAAAAGGCTTTCATAATCATATTGTTACAAACAAAAGCAGGGAAAATTCTAAAAAAAAAAATAATGTTTTGTTTTTGTTCATTTTAAAGGTGCATATGTTTAAATATTTTACAGATTTGTGTTGAGAATTCCACACTTAACATTTGTTTTAAATGATAAATTGAGTTGAAATGATTAATGTCCACAAGCATGAATAAATTAAAAATCAATCAGATATCCTTAATGAAATCTGCTCCTGTACCAATGAATTAATAATTTTTTTTATATCACGGAGTGAATTTTGCCTCAAACTCACCATTTCCCCACTAACACCTTGGTCATCAAGTATCGAGTTCCTAAAGTTTGCTGGCAGGAATAGAAGGCATCCTGAAACTCAAACTCGTTAAGTCCAGTGTGGAAATGGACGTGAGTTTCGTTGACGTTTACGTCAGATTTGAATTCAGGTCCCTGTGTGAACCAGGTCCCGGCAATGTCTCTGGGCAAGTTACAGCGAGGGATCATATACTGGGTGGGTGGAGCAACTGTCAAATTAAAATTAATTTTCAAAATTTTTTTATATCGGCATTAAAATTCATGTATTTTGTCAATGTAATTGATCTTCTCCTCTAGAATAATGAAAAGAATGTTTGGAAAAAAAACTGGACATTAAAGAAAAATCTGTCTAATTCCTAAATTTGTTACCTGCAAGTAAGTGATTACAGCAATATATTAAATTTACTCACTTCTTGTTAGAACTAATTTAAGAGGTCCCTTGTAAATTCCACTCAAACTTGTGCAGTCAGGAAAACGAGACATGACCCATCGAATCTGATTCTTGGCATCCTTCTGGTTTTTCAAGGTCATCTACAAATAAAATCTCCAACGATAATATAAATTTCTACAGTACATGTATTTCCGTTTTCTGTAAAATACACATTGCAAATCCTTGAGTGCAATAAATCTTATAATCAAATTTTTTTTACATTCTGTCTAGAAATAAATATTTTTTACCAAGCACTTGAACTTTTCTCTGGTATCCTGTTCCACAGTGTCAGCAACGGCAGCGAATGTGTAGCCGATTCCACTACGCACAGCGAACCATGAGCCCATACACTGGTATCTCACCTCTACAACATGTCATTAAAACTTTAAATCAAAATATATTCTTCTTTAAGATCATTCAGTAGTGCTTAATTTTACTTACATGCGCATCAAAAAAATTGTAAGAGTTATGTCCCTTTATCCAATTGATACATCAGGATAAAACAGAACCTTGATACTTACGTTCATTTTTTGACGTTGACACGTCATGACATTTGCGATAGGTCATGAGGAAGACTTCGTTGTCGACATATTGAGATCCGGGTTCTTGACAAGCTTTGATTTGACTGTCAGGGTGGTTACAGATACCTCCACCCCCCTGATCTACTTCATAAGAGAACTGGTACACGCCCTCAAATGTGGTCACACAATTTATCTTCTTTGGAGCTTGTCCTAAAAGAATTAATAAATCTTGAACTAACTGTCTCATACTATGACAGAATTAACTTTTCTTTCAAAATGACAATTTTTAAAATATAAAATTGTCAAGCATAAAAATGACCATTTCTATCAAATTTTGTCCATTCAAAGTAGAGTTAAACTTCATTATCTTAACTCAATGGGACTGAGAAAATAAATTTGAATTAGCCAAAGATTTGGGGTAGAATATCTAAAAATATTTAAGTACATTTTAAGTTGTAGTTGGGAGTTCCATTTCCACAGTATTTGAGTAAAGGGTTTTGAAGATATCGAAGTTCAACTGTATGCCAAAATTTATGTATTTTAAATACAAAATCAATTTCGATTGGGAATTCTTGGCATTGAAAAAAAATTTAATATGATAGATGAACCCTAAGAAATCTAACATGCTTTGACTTACTAAACATTGTGAAGGTAACGTCAGTGCTGGGCAGACCGTACCAAGGATTCATAGATTTACAGGAGGCATTGAGGGAAATCTGACTGCCGGACTGGGTCGTGATGCAGTCCTCTGGAAAACGGAACCAAACAAGTTAACTTATTATATCAAACAACTGCAGGTAAAATACAGGTAAAGCTTTGATTTTTCACTCATAGTTTCATTTTATAGTTTCAAAATGAATACATTGTATATTTTATCATTTTCATTTTATAGTGTCAAAGAGAATGTATTAGTTCAATGTAGTTTACCTTGCCTATATTGTAGAATGTTGATTGTTCTCCATAAAACGTCTACACACATGTAACATTTGTTTGTGAGACTTCCACCACTACAGAAAAGAAAAAATAGTCATTTGTATACATATGTATGGATGCAAATATTTCATTATTATAATATTACATAAAGTGAGCAACAGGTTAAAATATTGGGTTTCAATTTATGACTGTAGAAATGAGAACAAAGAACTTATTTTTTTAATCACAGAAAAACACACAAATCATATTATATTACACACTGTGCCTCAGTAACCTAAAAAATCTCTGTCAAAGAAGGTCAGATAGAAATCTGTCTTCCAAAGAATTGGAATAAATGAAGTTTCAAATTAATGCAGATCACGGGGGCAGATACCTTTTTTTCATTGTACATGTATCTAGTTACATAATGCACAACTCTAATTTCCCTTTTTTTCATTTCCTACACACATGCTCTGGACTGCATGCACACTCACTCACTCATCCTTAGACTGCATGATTATGTAAATACCAAGAGCTTCTAGTACTAATGCCATGTGGTCAATAATTTCACCAAATTAGAGAGAATAGACAAATATCAATAAATATTGACTGAATTTCAGCTTTCTGGGGAAAAAAGCAAAGTTAAACTAAACCTGTAAACTGGCCAAAGTGAATGGTCATCATCTGAATTATTCAACATAGTGCGAGAATAATTATTTTAATTTAAACTCTTTACTCTTGTCCTGGTTCATAAATTGTTTATAATTTAATTTCTCTGAAATATCTTTTAGAACATTGTTAACATTGTTCATTTCCCTGGATTTCCCTTTTGACCATTAACATTTCCCTTTTGACCATTAACATTGTAACACTGTTCATTTCTCTTAAATTTATTTCCCTTTTGACCATTAACATTGTAACACTGTTCATTTCCCTGGATTTCCCTTTTGACCATTAACATTGTAACACTGTTCATTTCTCTTAAATTTATTTCCCTTTTGACCATTAACATTGTAACACTGTTCATTTCTCTTAAATTTATTTCCCCCATTAACATTGTAACACTGTTCATTTTAACATTAACATTGTAACACTGTTCATTTCTCTTAAATTTATTTCCCTTTTGAATTTATTTCCCATTTTTGATTTCCCTTTTGACCATTAACATTGTAACACTGTTCATTTCTCTTAAATTTATTTACCTTTTGACCATTAACATAACATTGTTTATTTCCCTGGATTTACCTTTTGACCATTAACATTGTAACATTGTTGCCATCCTGCTGAAGGCCTAGGTTGGGGTGGATGAACAAATCCTCACAGTTTAACTCGGTGTCATCCTGATTGCTGTCCCACTTATCATTATTTACCAATGTTCTAATGTCTGTACCAGATTCTCTACTGTACCAGTCTCCGTGAAAGTACGCTGGAATGTTGCATCTTCCCCAAACTGTGTTAAGAAAAAAAAAGAAAAAGCTTTTGCAATGTTAATTATTTACTTCAAATGCATATCATAAACAGGCTATTGCAACCTATTTGAGCAATTATTCCCAACCTTTCTACACCTGTTACACATAAAGACACATACACACCTAGCTAATTAAACAAATCAGAAAAATCCATGAACTAAATTAAATGAAGGTATGTAGCTTACTATATTACCAAACATATAAAAATCTGCAAATTTTTAAGCTAAAAAAAAATCTTTTAAAAAATTCCGCTGATAGTTAATTTTGAAAAATAACACATTTTGAAAATCATTTCCGGGTGACTCACTGACACTTTGATGTTACGCATTTTCAAAATAATTTAAAGAATTTAAACGAAAATTGGTAAAATAATGCTTTTGAAACACAAAAATAATTCTAAAATTAAGTCTAAGCTAAACATAAATATACATCCGAATGTATTTACCTGTCACAGGTAAAAATAACAAAAGCAAAACCTTGGCGTCTTGCAACGCCGCCATTTTCCCAGGTGCAAATGGTAAGGGTAAAACAAGACCCAATCAACACTGAAAAGTCTCGATCAGCAAAACGCTTCAACTTATGTGTACTGTGAAAAATTATTTTTTGTTTTTATCCCTTTTTAAAGGCATGCAAAAGCGTTTTGAAATATATGAATTTTGAGTTATAACGTAACTTCAAGTTAATTGTGTTTTTCATCATTCTGGATTGACTAAAATATTTGAATTTGTAGCTTATGTAAACATTATCCTCAATTTACACCGATCATAAAGAAAGAGGACTGGTAGGCCTAGAATATCCACAGAAGTTGACAGACTCGGAGAGCAGAAGCCAGGGATATGGTATGTGATAATGTGACAGTTACTTTTTTTCTCAAACTGTGTCACTCTTATTTATTTATTGACCAAAAATACCCCTGCTAATGGGACTGAGATCTAAGAATAAATGAATTGTCAATTCATTTAGTAAATGTATGAAAACTGAGCTGTTACAGTGTTAGTGTTAAAATTAAATGATCATTAATTAATTCAGTATGGACTTAAGTTTTGTAGAAGCAGACACTTAGATTAAAGTACAGATACGCTTCAAAACTACATGGCAGTTATGTATATAGATCCCTCAGTTGATGAAAATATGATTCACAAAATAATGCTCTACATATATGAACAATATCTAAAACGAGGTAAATTATTGACATACAAGTTGCTGAATCAAGAATAACAGCAGGCTGGTTTAAAGTTAGTTAGAATAATCTAACTGTGTCTCAGGACAAGCCCTCATCACAGAATACCACCCATACACTCGCAATGTAGCAAAAAATTGCAGAATTGGCAATTGCTCCGAAACGATTTTGAAAGATACAAACGGATTTGCACTGAAAATAACTTATAAATTAATCAAAACAAATCTTTTTGGGGCTGTGTAAGTATTTAATCCTAAAGTTTAGTCTTAATAAAGATGAAAATTCAACTAATTTTCTCAAGGTTTTTTCTCGCTTCAAATTTACACGCCATGTTTACGTTCGGAACTCTCTTGATTGTTCATAGTAAATCACTAGTACAAGTTATCGCCCGTGTTTACTTTGCTACATTGTGAATACACGGAACGCATTCTATCGTTAAACCGGGTCCGTAGGACATTTATCATTTTAACGATAGAACATTCAATCTAGTTTAAAGTAATCATTTCATAAATGCTATGGTTGATACCACTAATCTGACCTTGTCAGCAAATACAATGATTTTTCCGTTATTTCCCAATCATAATAACGAGCACATAGTGGGTGTGACCTGTCGTCAGGGGATGCTCGCACCTCCGTAGCACCTGATCCCACCTCTGATATTTTGGAATCTGTGTTTGCTCTACTCTAATTTTGAATTGTTTAATGGACTTATGAGCTTTATAATATTGCAGTTCATCATCTCCATATAATTGCATATAGATACAGACCTATAATAATTCATGATTTCTTTAAATATGCAGTAAAACACACTTATAGCCAACACACTTCTAATGAATTGATGTTCATCATGTTTATAGTGAAGAGATTTTCATTCCCCAAGACTTCATATGGGATACTTCATTAACTTTATATTGGTTATTAATAGATAGTTGAAATAATATGTTAAAAAGGGCCTTTTTTAACATAGAAAAGCTCTTTAGTATTAAATTTACCCCAGATCAACCTTTTGCTATTGAGCAAATCAAGATTTGTTATTAAGAAGTATTAATTAATTCTATTTTATCCTAGGCTGAAAGAAAGTCACAGAACAAGTATTACCCCCCAGACTGGGACCCCAGTAAAGGATCCGTCAACAAATATGTCGGCCAGCACCCCCTACGAGACCGAGCCAAAAAAATCGCTCAGGGCATACTTGTTATTAGGTGAGTACACTTTGATCATCCAGGAAATAGAAAGGCTATATTTTATTTTACCCATAAATGGCAGTTTTAAATGAAGAAATTGTTGTTAGTAAATTTGTTAAATATTGCAATCTCCTTCAAGATTAATTGAAGCATTTATTTGATATTTGAATTTGATGTCTTGCCATACCATAGTACTGACAGAACAGTGGGGGCATATTATTAGATTAAAAAAAAAACATAACCTTTTTAAAACAGATTTTCTTATTGGATAGAATTAAAATGACATGCAGTATTATATATTTTTCTTCTCTGGATAGGTTTGAAATGCCGTATAATATTTGGTGTGGAGGCTGCAACAGTCATATTGGAATGGGAGTCCGCTACAACGCAGAGAAGAAGAAAGTGGGAAACTATTACTCCACGCCAATCTGGCAGTTCAGAATGAAGTGTCATTTGTGTGATAATTATTTTGAAATCCAAACAGACCCCCAGGTATATCATGGTATATTTATGCCTCCCTTGAAAGAAAGGAAGGCTTATTGCTTCGCTGCTGTCAGTCAGTCTGTCGCTTCACCAGGTTTATGTTCATTTTCTTGGCAGTGGTTGTACATACTGAATTGAAATTTGGTATACAGATTTTTAAAAAAGAATATCTAGTTCAAGTTCTGTTTTGGGAAAGATTGAGCCATTTTTGACAGAGTTATGCCCCTTGAACTTTGAAAAATTCCAATTATTTGCAATTTCCGTTTATTATTTTCACAGAGGTTAGACTCACTGAAATAAAATTTGGTATACTATACAGATTTTTTATAAGAATATCTAGGTCAGTTCTGTTTTAGGTACGATCGAGAATTTTTTGACTGAGTTATGCCCTTGGACTTAGAAAAATTCCAATTATTTGAGGGGAGAGTGGCATATTAAGTAAAATACTTATGCCACTCTCCCCTCAAATAATTGGAATTGCAAACATCTTGTGTTGATTCTTTTATTTTTACTATTTCTAATGATTTTTTTCTTTTAATTGCAAAATATTTTTTGTCGTTTGCATTCAAAGATATTTGAACATAAAATAATATCAATTGAATAAAATTGAAGCAAATTGAAGGATAAGAATCTTTCAGAGAATTTTAAGTTTTTGAAATATATCCATTTTTATGCTTATAAATTTAAATTTGAACAAGATCTTGTAATTAAGATTAATCTTTAACGTGTAATTGACTTTCTTTAGACCTGCCTCCTCTGTCATTTTAGAAGAGCAGCTGAAAAATGTAACTTTTATTTTAGCACCATGACTATGTGATTGTGAGTGGGGCCAGAAGAAAAGAACAGCGATGGGACCCCAAAGATAATGAACAGATTGCTACAGAAGGTATAAAACCACAGGCTGCGCTGTATGGGGCAGATATACCAAATGTAGTGTGCTTCTGTCATAGATTTCCCAATCAAAAATTTATAAGTTTAAAATTTATAATTATGAAAGAATTTTGCGATACTGTTTTAGATAAAGCTATTATAAAGAAGATGGCCAATGACCCCATGTTTAAGCTGGAACATACGAGTGATGACGTGAAGAAAGCGGCCAATGTACAGATGACCGTTGGTCAGTTAGAGGACAGGAGAAGTGAATATCGAGACGATTACATTCTAAACAAGATGGCCAGAAGTCAGTTCAGGGTAGGAATTATAATTTGTAATATACTTGTATAAATTTATAAAGTTTATTGGACCATATTGAGGTTAAAATTCTATCGTTAGGTAGCTTTATGTTTTTGAAGCTATATACATATTTGCTCCTTATTAAATTTGCAGCTTTCATTTTATTGAATGAACAAATTGTGTATACTTGTAAGTATTAAGAATTGATATCCAATTTCCTTGATAAGGCTAATTTTACCTTGAAAATAGCTAATTAAAAAATGAAACTGCGGGAATTGCAACACTGTATACCTAATCAGATTTTACAGTGGTACCTTGTAAAGTTTTTATTATGGCATACTTTTAGTCACATTTATTTGCTATCGTTATAGGAAGAAAAGAAGGCCTTGAAGAAAACAGCCCTGGAGGACAAAGATTTGCTGGAGAGGTCCTCACTAGATATTACACTTCTACCCGAGTCAAAGGAGGATGTTAAGATGGCCTCCCTCCTCAAATACAAGTCCACGGAAAGTATGCTTCTTTATCACCATACACAGTGATTTTGTGTGACTGTTTATGCATGTCTGTCTGTCAAATTATATAGATTAAAGAAGCTTTTACATCCATATACTTAACGATAAAAAGATTACTGTAGATTCCTAAATATATGCGTGGAAATAATTATCGCATTATTTCGCGAAAAGCACCACAAGCGTAATTAAAGTACATGTCTTTATTTTTATAGTGCTGAAATCTATATTAAAACTCTTGATCAACTGTCCATTCGCGAATTCTTATTCTCGTGATTTGCTGTTGAAGAGTCCATTCGTGATAAAAAGTAACGGTGTAAGATTAAAAAAAATATGAGCAATGAACATTCACGTGTCACTGAATTTGAAGGGTCTCAAGGGGATTTGATGAAGAGTGTAAGATTTTGAAAAAAAAAATAAAAATATAAAAGCCTTTGTAGCAAAATTTAGAAGTTTGAGAAAATTTATCAGAACAATTTCTTCATTTATACACAGAAAGTTCCCCATTGTCTATATAACAATTTTTTTTTACCATATTTCCAGCCTATGATGAGAAACAGAAACAGTTGAGGAAGGAAATTGAGTCGCAGACAATTTTTCAAAAATCTAACCAACCAAAGGATGGAAAAGAAACAATAAAACATAAACTGGCAGCAGCCAATAACAACAAACACTTGGGATTTAACAATTGTGAAGCCATAACGTATAGAACGTTGACCGAGAGTCAGAAGTTGTTCGGAATCCGAAAGAAAAATAACTTAAACAAGACCAAAAAAGACCATTCTCGATCATCGCAGGCCACAGAGCAGGCAAGTAATGAGGACGTAGAGATAAGACTAGCCCCAATTTCAGAGGAAACCAGTAGTGATAGTGTTATGGGACAACAAGATGAAGAATGTGAACAGCCCAAGTACAATGTTATCAACAAGGCACCATCAACGTCGAACGACATGTCTGGCCTTAATCTAGTCAACAGCTATCAGGACAGTGACTCAGATTCCGACTCCAAAGTCACTTAAAAATATCAAACGCTGATGTTATTTACTGATACTCATTGCATTCATTAAATTATTTGTTATTGCCAATAAATATGACTATTGCAGATTTTTTTTTTCATTTTAGCTCACCTAGCTATTTGTATGACCTGATCAGAATTTGTTTATGATATGTCGTTGTTGTAAACTTTTCACATTTTAGCCATTCTCAGTGACCTGGGCCAATTATAACAAAACTTCCACAAAGCATTTTAATTTTAAAAATAACTTTTTTTGAAGGGCCACATTAATTCAATGGGGGAAAAAATTAATGAAAATTTGATTATGTTTTAAAAATCTTCTACTCAAGAACCACTGTGCCAGGAAAGATGAAACTTTTAAACAGATCCTAGGTAGTTTAGATTCAAGTTTTTGGTCTTAATCTTTTTGAGGGTCATTCAAAAAATTTGTAGAGTTTTGCCCTAAATTTTTTATTTAACGTCATTTTAGATCCAAATTTGGTACACATATTTTAATAACAAATGCGAATAATTTGAGTAAAAAAATGGAAAAGTTTTACATAGACACATTGGAAAAATCTTTAAAAAGATCTTATGAAGAATAGCAAAAATGATTGGTCATGGGACTACGATTTAAAATTCAATAATAAACCAATTTTCACTTTTTATCTAAAGCCATCATAGGTGAGCGATGTGGCCCATGGGCCCCACCCACACACACACACACTGAGGAAATTGTTTATGATATGTATTGCAGTATATATACTCCTTAGCCATACTCAGTGGCACTAAATTATAACCAAGACCAAATTATAATTTTAAAAGTAACTTTTTTTTACATTAATCAAAAATTATTTAATTCTTTTTTATAAAACAATACTGAGACATAAATTTAGAAAGGCAATTTTAAACAGATTAGGTTTTACATTCAACTCAAATTTTAAATTTGGTCTTAAATCTTTTTTTTTTGATGTACGAGGGTCATTCAAAAAAGTTCGTAGACTTTTGCCCCAACTTTTATATTTAACGTCATTTTATATCCAAATTTGGTACAAATATTCGAATAATTTGTGTAAAAAAATGGAATACCTCTTCATATTGATAAAAATTATCAAAGATTTAGAACAGCAAAAATGGGGTCATCCACAGCAATCGTCGAGAACCCTTTGAGCTTTTGCAATGAATTTTACATATAATCATGGGCTAACCGGAGGGGACCCCTGGATTTTGATTTTGACAATGGTCAAACATTTCAAAGGTCAAGGTCATTTTTAAGCTTGTCATGTTTTTTTAAAACAATTTTTTTTTCACACACTCTAGAACCATTTGAGCTATCGCAATGAAATTTTGCTAACAATGCCAATGGCCATAACCTCTAATAAATGGAGATGAAACGAAATAAAATTTACATGTTTAAATTAAGTCTTGCTGTACTACTAAAAATGCTATCAGGTAATGTGCGCTTCACTGCTGCGAAACTAATAGAGTTACCCGGTAAAGAATCTGAAAACATCGACAATCTAGTTCAAGCTATTTGTGCAATTGATAGCGAACAAGGTGTTAAGTGTTATGGATACGTTGTTATGAATGAAGAAGACGATACAAACCGTGTGTGAAATTAAAAATCAGTCTGAGTAATTTTGTGAAACTTTCTCGACGTTGATTTTGACGTTACAATGTCGGTAAACCTTGCTCCGTGGTAACAAAACATGTTGCTTTAAAAATTGGCTAACATGAATCCTATTTACTCAAATGGAATGAAACTTCACGCTTCGACAAAATAATTTTTTTTATTTTCGAAAATGCTATGATCTATCACTACTGAATTAAATATCCCCTTAGATTCCAAAAAAATCCCCTGTTGTCCCCCTGTCTGTCCCTGACATTTTCCTGCGTCTCCTTGACTTTCTCTTATGATCCCCTGTCGTTGTCCCTGCTCTTCCTGTCCAGTCCCTGTCGTTGTCCCTACCTACTCTGTCTACTCCCTGTCGTCCCATGACATTCTCTGATCTCCCTGTCCAGTCCCTGTCGTCCCCTGTCGTTGTCCCTGCCTTTACTGACTTGCCCCTGTAGTAAAACATTTATTTTGGCCAAGAAAAGGAGTTCAAAATATAATCTTGATGCATTTAAGAGTAGAAAATGATATAGTCTTGAAAACTCTTAAGTGTTCTAAAAATATAGACTTCGTAATAAGTTAACACATTTTAAATGCCTTAACTAGATCCTCTGTAATTTAGTTTCTATGATTTGTGTTGCTTTTTTAGTTTGATAGCATTTCGGGGGGAAAAACGACAGAGAATTGTATCAATTCTAAAGGAGAAACAAATTACCAATTTATTGCTTCTTGTAATGCTAGACGGCATATACATGTACTTTATGAACCTTTTATATACTAGTATATTGAAAAACTTTTTCATTTATAATATGACTTACTTTGAAACATCTTTGAGCGTAATAACTGTCTACGTAAAAGATTTAAATAGTCGGAAATAAATGATCAAATCTATGCATTTGATATTTTTTTCTAATGAATAAAATTAACAAAAAATTAACTGAAAAGAACGATATATAAATGCAATTTTAAAACAAATGTCTAAGTAATAAATAAAAATTAGTAAATAAACTATGAATTTATTTTATTCATTCATTCTGTTATGAAAATACCGGTATATCTACAAATGGACAGAAATTAGAACGAATGTATGAATAGAGAGATACATAAGATAAATAGACAGATACATGAATAAAAAAAATAAATAATAAAATATCAATTTATTTATTTATTTTATTTTTTAAAATTGAAAATACAATAAAGAGCTATATGCGGTATACTGCATATCTTTGCCCCCATAAAAGTCAAATTTTGAAAAATTCTTGAAGTGTGCTGAATTCTATAAATTGTATAAGAAATATAAATTAACGTGACATATTATAGTTTCAAAGTAGTTAACTGACAATTTTTGTTTTTATGACGTCACAAACTAGTCAGACTTTATATCATTTTTCAGAAAGAGGACAAAATGGACAAAATTTCAACTATTATAGCTTTGAAAATTATAGAGCGCAAGTTTGCTCAGGAACAATACTGCAGTATTTACATATTTCATTGATATTATCACTCTACACAGTATATCAAAATATTGAGCCTGATCAGACCTGCGCTCGGTGATTTTTACTCAAAATATCGACGTAATATATACATTTTTCTGTAGAAATCATGCAAATTTAAAATTACGTCATTTTTGTGACGTCATTTCAAACATTTCGTAATTTCTTATGAAAATATCCATGGCCAGTGCTTTGAAGTTAGAATATACACCCGGCCTGTTTGAGAACATAATTAAATATTTCTCCGTCAAAGTTTGATTTGGGGGACAAATATTGATTATTACCGAATAAAGTTCTTTATCAATCATTTACTAGTTTATCCCCAAAATTTGATTTGTAAGTTTTATTTTATTTAAACAGTTTTTGTTTATCCTAAAATATGCTACAAAGTATTTTACATGCATATTAAAACGACTTTCAATTATTTTACGTCCATGACGAATATCAAAATAGTCGTCTTATTATGCACAATCTTAATTCTTCAATTTAATTTTTGATACTTTTACTTTGTTTTGATTGAAAAAAAATCAAACACAGTTCTGAAAGAACAGCAAAGCCATTGATAGTTTACCAGTGACTGGTGAGGAACATTGTTTACCACAAATTCGAAGCGCCACTGTATTTACCAAAGTGAAAGAAATTGTTTTAAACATGGTAAATGTCTTTTTTTTCTTCTGTATATTCAAAACTGAAGTACAGAAAAAAGAAGCGTCCTTTACCTTTTCACAAGAAAAGACTTGTATGGATGATTTTTCTATATTAAAATTAACTTTTTTATATGTACATATGTTTGCCTTTTAAGTGCATAAAAATACAAAATGTCAGCACATAATTATGTATTGGAAGAAAAGTCAACACCTAAATGTGGCTAATATTTTAAAATAAGATAATTACATGTATCAGCAAATTTCAATGATATATCTATTCTGAAATTTAAAATTACTTATATCTTATTTATTAATAGCGGTGCAAGGTGTTCCCTTGGTATTTACATTTTTCTCATGAATTTTTATCATTTCTATAATTTATAAAATTCTATCATTATAATTCATATAATTTAAAATATTATACATCAACTGTTTCGATACAATATGATTAACTTAAATAGGAATATTAAGTCTTCAGTTGGACACATCTGGTGAAATTTGCTGAATGGGGAAATACAAATACGTAGTGAATTAATTGTTGCTTATGTTTTCAATCTATATTACAGACCTTCAGATTGCTTTTATAAAATTGAAATATTCATGGGTATAAATACTTTATTTTACCCGTTATGTTCGTCTTGATTAAATCGATCTGAAGATCTGTAAGTCAAATGAAAAAAAAAACGTGAAGTCTAATGAACGTGAAATTTTATACAGTACAACATTTAACAGTGCAAGTGTTAACAAGTATAATTATATTACAAGTTATGTCGTTTACTAATTTTTATTTGAAAATTAAAATAAGTATACGACTATATATAGTCGTGTACTTATTTCAGTTTTCAAATAAAAATCAGTAAACGACAGTATATATACAACATTACAACAGAGATTTACAAGTAATATTCAACAACATTACAACAGAGATTTACAAGTAATAAACAACATTACAACAGAGATTTACAAGTAAAATACAACATTACAACAGAGATTTACAAGTAATATACAACATTACAACAGAGATTTACAAGTAATATTGTTCCTGCTATTTAAGGCTATTTTAAAAACATCTTATTTGCGAGATAACTATTTCATACAAAAAATCGTGAATTTTGGTTAACGTTTTGGTACATGAAGATTGTCTACACTTTTAACCAAAATTCTTACGTATATTGTCATCGATATCAATGACAACGAAACGATGTCACACCCATTCTCTAGTACCCTCTCCGTACGCACAAAAGTTGCAGTTTATTTTCGTAAACTACAAAATATGCCGCCACGGATACTATAAATTTGAAGTACAAAAATACTGTTTTATATTTGAAAATTTTTCTAGAGAAAGACACTGAT